TCATAAGAGGTGGGGATTTTTTTTAAATTTTAATTTTTTTTAGTGATTTTTTTACGGTCATACGCACCATGGTCCAATCCAAATTGTAATAATCATACGCACAAAACATCAACAATTATTGTTAATCATACGCAGCATAGATTTATTTAAAAAAATGTTTTTAAGGGACCCTAAAAGGCTCGGATTTTAAAAAATAATCCTTTTTTGAATTTTAAGGGATCTACGAAAGGCTCAGAATTTTTAAATTAATTTTTAAGAGGTCCAGCTAAGGCGTGGATTTTTGAAAAATATTTTTAAAGGGTCCATAAGAGGTGGGCATTTTTTTAAATTTTTAATTTTTTTTTGTGATTTTTTACGGTCATACGCACCATGGTACAATCCAAATTAAATTTATAATAATCATACGCACCACAGTATCAACAATTATTGTTAATCATACGCAGCATAGTGTGATTTGAAAAAAAATGTTTGTTAAGGGATCCTAAAAGGCTCGGGGTTTGAAGAATATTTCTTTTTTTTAGTTTTAAGGGATCTACGAAAGGCTCAGAATTTTTAAATTAATTTTTAAGAGGTCCAGCTAAGGCATGGATTTTTTCAAAATATTTTTAAGAGGTTCATAAGAGCTGTTTCTTTTTTAATTTTTTAATTTTTTTAGTGATTTTTTACGGTCATACGCACCATGGTGCAATCCAAATTGTATTTATAATAATCATACGCACCATAGCATCAACAATTATTGTTAATCATACGCAGCATGGGGTGATTTAAAAAAAAATGTTTGTTAAGGGATCCCAAAAAGCTTTTTTAAGAGGTCCAGCAAAGGTGTGGATTTTTTAAAAATATTTTTTAAGGCGCCATATAAGAATATGGCGTGGATTTTTTTAAAACTAATTCTGAAGGGGTCTACCGAGGGCGTGGATTTTTGAAAAATATTTTTTAAGGGCTCGATAAGAGGCGTGGATTTTTAAGGGGTCTAAATAGGCAGTGATTTGTTTAAAATATATATTTTTTGAAGAATACGAGATTTTTTTTTTTTAAAATATTTTCCCAAATTTTTCCCCGTCCCTGCCGTCTGATTTACATGTCCAATGAAAAAAAAACAAAAACAAAAACAAAAAAATCGACCGAATAAAAAATTATTGAGGTGTCTCCAAGTATTTTACGATGTATTGTCGTTGTACCCATTCGAAATGTAAAGTGCAGAAGAAGAAGAAAAATCAGCAGCAGCAGTAGCAGATTTTCAGAATTTGAAGGAAAAACAAATTACATACGTTTGATTCAATTTTGGCTGAAATATACGCTTCGTTGCTGGCTGTTCTCCTTGTTGTTGTTGTTGGTTGCATGAACCGGTAAAAATAGCAGCCCTCGGACAAAATAAAACAACAACAACAGCAATAAAGGCGACAAATCCGTGCAAAAAAAAAACAAAAATAAAGAAATGCATATCTAAACACTCATGCATTACAAAATTTATTTCAACACCACTAACAACAACAACAAGAACAACAACAAAACCATATAATCCAAATGAATAGAAAGAAATCAAATTTTTTTCAGTATTTTTTTTCTGGGGTGGTGGTGGACAAAGAGCTGATTTACACAGTAGCCAGCCAGACAAACGACCAGAAAAAAAAACTATAACTAGAGGGTGTTGAGGGATGGCGGGGAGGGGGTGTGCTGCCCGATCAGTTGGACAATAGCAGATACTAGATTGACAAATTTACAACTACACAATAGCTCACAAGTGCAGCCAAAAAAAATGAATTGAAGGAAAATAAATAGAAACAAGAAAAAAATTAGAAAACGAAAAAATGGAAATGCACCAATTACAAGGCAGTGAAATTTGAGATGGCGAAAAAAAAATATTTAAAAAAATACACGCCATTAGGTAGACCTCTAAAAAATATTTTTAAAAATTCCCACCTTTGGGTACACCTCTTAAAAATTTTTTTAAACAAAATTCCGGCCTCCCCTTAAACATATTTTAAAAAAAATCCACGCCTTAGCTGGACCTCTTAAAAAATATTTTTTAAAATTCTGAGTCTTTCGTAGACCCTTTACAACTCAAAAAAAAAAAAAAAAATAAGAAAAAGTATTTTTAAAACCCCGAGCCTTTTAGGATCCCAAACATTCTTTTAAATCACTCTATGCTGCGTATGATTAACAGTAATTGTTGATGATATGGTGCGTATGATTATTATAAATACAATTTGGGTTGTACCATGGTGCGTATGACCGTAAAAAAATCACCACCCAACTCTTATAAACCCCTAAAAGACACGACTTTGGTAGATCCCTTACAATTTATTTTTAAAAAATCCACGCCTTAGCTAGACCTCTTAAATATATATTTAAAAATTCTGAGCCTTTCGTAGACCCCTTAAAACTCAAAAATTTTTTTTTTAAAAAACCCGAGCCCTTAGGATCCCTTAACAAACCTTTTTTAAATCAATCCATGCTGTGTATGATTACCAATAATTGTTGATGCTATGGTGCGTATGACCGCAACAAAATTAAAAAAATCAATAAAAAAAATAAAAAAATTCGGGAAGAACCCTTAAAAATTATTTTTAGAAATTCTCGCCCTAGCTAGAACTCTTAAAAATATATTTAACCAGTGAACGGAGCAGTATAGTCGAACGGGGCCGATCATATGATACTCTACACAACTTCCACGAAAATCTAACTTTCTGTGGTTCTATATTCGGAGCTTGGGCAATATTTGGCGATATTTGAACCCCCTTGACCTTGACTAGATGTCAACAAATATTACTCATGTTCAGTACAGCCCTTCTAATTGCTAGTCCAGATTCCCTTTACCGTGGGTTGTGATGCTCACCTTATAATTGTGGTCTATAGATCGACTCGAAAAAAACACAAACTAATTACGTTTTCGTCCACTTTATCCCAAAATTATTATCTGATCATCACGGAAAATAACTGGAACCTCATGAAACATTTCAAAATGATCTGCGCTATATTTCCGCCCACCAGTGTAATTATGAATTACTAAATAATATCTGAATACGTAAGCACCTCTAAATATTTTCGTGTAACTACCACATCCGAGTACATACGATAATATAATTGGTATCAATTTAAAGGTCAACCACTCCTTTTGGATATTTTATCAACTTCTCGGGTCTATGTCCTTCAGAGGTAAATATATACGCCATGGAATCCAAATTTTGTAATTTTTCACTCAAAAGTAAGGTAGCATTTTACCCCCTAAATATTGACCGATATTTATCAAAACCGGCATGCTTATTCTTTGATCCGATCCCCTTCTCCATGCAAAAATTCGCGATATTTTGGGACGATATTGGGACAAAAATAAAGTTTTTGGTCCATTTCATCCCCTAAATATTAACCGATCTGTACCAAAACAATAGGGGTATTTTATACATGTACAAATTCGTGAAGATTGGTCTGTAACTGTGGCCTGTATCGTGTTTACAAATTATAATGGACAGACGGACGGACGAACGGATGAACACACATGTCTAGATCGACTCAGCTAGTCGAGATATGACGATCGGTATACTTAAAGGTGGACCTAGGACCAATATATCGAACTCTCTCCTAAGGATGAGTTGATAATTCTGCTTTCCGGCATTCTATCAATCCATTCCGTAAGGAGTGAGGGGATACCTGTGCTTACGAGAGCAGAGCATGGATGGCTTCCAGCTTCACATTATTGAAAGCTCCCTCAATATCGAGGAAAGCTGCCAAAGTGTAGCCAAAGGACTCCATATTCTTCTCGATGCACCCAACCACCTCATGCAGGGCTGTGTCCACTGATCTCCCTTTGATGTATGCATGTTGGGAGTTCCTTAGTTTACTATGGTCAATAGTGTTCCTAATTTCTGAGTCTAGTAACCTTTGTAAAGTCTTGAGTTGAAAGGAAGAAAGACTAATCGGTCTCTAGTCTTTTGGTAGCGTATGACTTGGCTTCCCGGCTTTCGGGATGAAGGTCACTGTTACCTCTTTCCATAGACTTGGTATATATGACAGGAGTAAAGAAGCCCTAAAGATGTCCAGCAGAGATGATATTGCTCGTTCGTCTGTGTGTTGCAGCAGTATATAGTATATTCTATAAACTTCTCCTCCTCCCTCGTTCGAACTGTAGGCTGATGCACACACTGCGCACCCTCCCTTTAGTCTTTGCAATCAGGAAAGTGGGTTGACGATAGAAGATCAAGAGTCTCACTGCCAAAGTTTGTCCATGTGGATTTTGGATCCTTAGATAGTACTCTGCGAAATCTGGCCGCTTCGTTGACTCCTTCGATTGACTCAGTATAGCAGACCCAAGACTCACGTTTAGCCTTCTTGATTACGCTCTTGTACCTATTGAATTGTCTATTTTATAGACTTCCCAATCTGTACTGAACTTTGTCTTACTAGCTGTATTGTATGCTTTCCTTGCAGCCTTCCTCAAGGTTGCAAGGTTTAGTGATCACCATACCGGCTGAGATTTTTTCCCAGGGTATGTTAGGGGACAAGAAGCCTCATAGCTCTTCATAAGAGTAGCCGTGACATTATTCACAGCTAATTCAACAACCTCAACCGTTTTTAGATCCTTATCCAGGTCCTTATCCAGGGTCGAGGCTGCTGTTTTAGCTTTGAATTTGTCTTCCGAGGATTCCTATAAGGTTTCTGTTTTCCTCTGAATGTAGGAATCTTGGTAAACCCCCTACAAAATATTAAAAAAAACCCACTTCTTATAGGCCCCTTAAAAATATTTAAAAAAATCCACATCGTTTATAGACACCTTATTTTTTTTTTAATTCATTCAGTTTGACACTTTTTGTTGTTGTTGTTTCTTCATAAATTTATTGTCATTAGTTTATTTTTTGCCCACAAATAAATATTAATTTTATTAATATTATTTTTTCTTCTTCTTATTTTTAGTCAATTTCTTTATGGCATTTCGCATGTAAGAAATCCACCCACCCTCCGTCGCCGCCAAAAATCACTTTAAACTATGGAACATCATCATAATGCCGGAACAGGAGCAACAGCGGCAACAACAACATCGGCAGCCACGACTAACCAACAGCGTTCACCACGTGACTCGGAACAATTAACGCAGAAATTTCAAAATCAACAGACACAGCAGCAGCAGTCTTCTACACAACAACAACTGAATCAGCAACAACAACAATATCACAATTCTCAGCATCAGCAGCACCACCACTCACAATCGTCGCTGCAGCAGCACCACCACCAACAAAATAATGATCATCAACAGCAATTCTGCTTAAGATGGCATAATCATCAGGTAAATACGGAAAAATCGATGAGAATGTTCTTTTCTTTTTGTTTAGTGGGAAAGGTTAGAGGATACAGCAGATTTGGGGAAGATAATTATTTTTTTCAAAGGACCAAAAAGGGTGGGGTTTTTAAGGAATATTTCTTCAAAGGACGAACCAGTCTACTAAAGACCTTAAAAATAAATTTTAAGGGGTCCCCTGGAGGCGTGGATTTTTTAAAAATAATTTTTAATAGGTCTATACGAGGCGCGTAGGCTCTGCTTGGATTAAACATGGCGAAGCCGAGGCTTATCTTGGTCCTTCTTTCATCTCAATTGTGGACACTGACGTCCCCGCGATACCATCTGGGGAGCTATTTTCATAACCCGATGAAATAGTGAGCTAATATGTGCCGCGAGTTCACCCATAAGAACTATTAAAAATGGGTTGAGGCTCTCGGAAAACCGAGCCTACTATGAAAAAGCAAAGAAAACCAAACACCACTAATGTTGACGACCCATGTTCGCTTTGGCGGATGTACTCAAGAAGTACAAAGCCGATATTATTGCCTTACAGGAAATGCGATGGAAAGGGACTGGCCTAAGTAAATCAGATGATTACGCCCTGTATTATAGCTGCCATGAAACGAGACATGATTTTGGCTGCGGATTTATGGTTAACAGGAGAATAAAAGACCTCGTCTCCAGATTCACTCCAGTAGATGAGCGAATTGCTATAATTCGCATAAAAGCGAAGTTCGACCGTGTTCCGACCAAAGACAAAGATGAGCAGACCAAAGATATATTTTATGAGCGCCTAGAAACAGCATATGATCGCTGCCCTGGCCATGACATTAAAATTCTGCTAGGAGATTTTAATGCAAAAATCAGAAGGGAAAATATTTTTTGATCCCACTGTCGGAAAATTCGGCCTCCACGAAGAAACATCCGACAATGGCATGAGGTTGATTGACTTCGTGGCAGCAAACAGCATGGTAGTTAGAAGCACCAGATTCAAGCATCTCGATATACACAAGGCCACCTGGATTTCTCCTGATCAAGCAACGAGAAATCAAATTGATCATGTTGTGATAGACGGAAGGTATTCATCCAGTGTGTTGGACGTTTGATCGATCCGAGGAGTGAATATCGATGGTCTTTCAAATTGGAAAAACTGCCCAAAAGACCGACGCGCCTGGAAATCTTTTCTAAGCTCGGCTTATGGAACGAAAGTTCTGTCACAAGCCAGCTAGGTATAATAGGTGTGGATTTTTAAGAAGGGCTCTATAAAAGGCGTGGATTTTCATACCCTACACAACTATGTTGTCAGGGTATTATAGCTTTGTGCAGCCCCAAGAGTTTGCAACGTCGCGAAATATTGGTCCTAGACCCACATTAAAAGTATAGCGATCGTCATGTCTCGTCTAGCTGTGTCGATCTAGAGATCGGTTAATATTTAGGGGATGAAATGGATCAAATACTTAATTTGTATCCGTTTTTCTAGGAGGCCTTTAAAAGTCATGGACTTCTTCCTGGATGCACTAGAGCCCCCCCAACAGGTTTCTCCTTCTTTGAAAGGACTACCGTGCTGGTCTTAGTACTGAGTCGGGGGATCCTATCAATCAATAAGTCCCTCTCAATATCATTTGGATAGTTCCTTGCAGAACTTCCGGATAAATTTGAGGTTCCCCTTGATTAAAATGAACTCCTTTCCCGTGATGGAGTGGCTGTCCCGTTCGACTTATCCGTTACAGTTAGTTAACTGCTCTCCGATACAACTTCTTGGCAGCGATCTCCTTGGCATCGATTTGCCTACCTTCAGTACCAGTACTGAGTAATCATCCATTTTATCGACGGGGGTCTCATCAGTACCAGTATCCGTTTCGACAACCAACTGGAGATTGAGTGCAGATCTTTAATGAATGCAGATCTTCAACCTCGCCAGTGTTTACTTCCCTAGTCAGCAACTGTGAGGAGTCTCCTTCCACTTGATTAAAAGGAACTCATTTCCCGTGATAGAGTCGCTGTCCCGTCCGACGTATCGGTTACAGTAGTTAACTGCTTTCTTGTTTATCTTCTTGGCAGCGATCTCCTTAATATCGACTTGCCTACCTTCAGTACCAGTACTGAGTAATCATCCATTTTATCGACGGGGGTCTCATCAGTACCAGTATCCGTTTCGACAGCCAACTGTCTGAGTAGTCTCGCGAAATCACTACAGGCCGTGGTGATTGAATGCAGATCTTTAACCTCGCAGCAACTGGGGGGACTCTCCAAGCTTCGGAGGAGACGCCATGGTCGCTACTGTGTTTTTCACCGTAGTGCTAATCACTGTAGTTTCCATGATGTCTTCCTCGTCTCGTCTGACAAGGGCGAGTCATCCCACGCTGATTCAGCATGCTCTCCTGACTAAGACGGAAGGAGCCGGTTTCCTCCAAAAAGGTTGAGAAGAAGATCTGACTGCCTCTCCAGGCTTTTGTTAACGTCGTCGAGAGTGGAATAAGAGGCAAAAGAGAGGTCCAGGGGGCATAGCTTGGGTCGTCAACACTTGAGGGAGTTCATTGAGGTCTGGCCTGTAGAGCTTCCGGATAAATTTGAGGTTCCTCTTGATTAAAAGGAACTCCTTTCCCATGATGGAGTCGCTGTAACGTCCGACGTATCGGTTACAGTAGTTAACTGCTCTCTGGTATATCTTCTTGGTAGCGAACTCCTTGGCATCGACTTGCCTAACAATTACTGGTACTGATCAATAATCCATCTTATCGACGGGGTTCTCATCAGTACGAGTATCCGTAATCACTGATGTCATCATGTCTTCGTCGTCTGATAAGGTTGAGGAGTAGATCCGACTGCCTCTCTAGGCTTTCGTTAACGTCGTCGAGAGTGGGACAAGAGGCAAAAGAGAGGTCCAGGGGGCATAGCTTGCGTCGTCAACACTTTAGGGGGTTCATTGAGGTCTGGCTTTGTAAAGTTCGAGACTAAGGGTGCCAAGGCAGCCACACCAGCTTCAGTGGAAATATCGCATACCATTTTTTTTTTTTTTTGCGGGAGGTTGTTAGAATTCGGCTCCATAAAAAATGCTGTAAGTGAGGGATTGAGGTCGACCATGGCATAGCCTCTTACCATGGCAAAGAACTTGGCATCTAAGCCTGAATAAGCTTGTTGAGGCGCACAGGTATTAACAAGGCTCCGTTCTAATACAGTCGGGACCCTGACTGCAAACCGTAGAACGCTGATAGGCACGAAATCGCATGACACTCCAGCGTTAGGGGGGACACTTTAAAACGGTAGTGACCCAGACCTTTTGAAATGGTTATATAGGGGCGCCAGGGATCATAGGCACTCGGACATATCCTCCGCGACGCTTCCCCTGAGCCCACTTACCGGTCCATTGTTGCCACTATCACCTTTTTCTTCCCCCTTCCAATATTTATTTTTAAAATTATTGTGACCAAAAAAAAAATAGATCTCTCAAAATTACATCTAACCAGACATTGTCTTATCCAAATATTATTAAAAAGCTCTCTCGTTTGGACAGACAAATGGCAACAACAACAAAAACAACACACATACAAAGAAAAAAAAAACTAAAAATGAAAAACTGTCCAAATATTTTCATTTTCCCGTACCCGAACACATTTTCATTTTCAAATGCATTCAATTTTTGACAAGACCGGCCGACCGACTGCCTGCCTGCTTGTCCGTCTTGTTGTTGTTGTGGTTGTTATTGTCACTTTGCGGATTTTGGATTTTGGCTGACAATTACGATTGAAGAAACAGTTGGAGGAAATACGGCGAAATACGACAGGCCCGGCAGACCCATAGATTTTCAAATGGATGGATTGCCTGAATGGCTGGCTGGTTGTCTGTCTGATCGCCCATTTGACCGATAGACCAATGGCCAAGAGATGCAAAAAAAAATCCGAAACACTAAATTTCCTATTTGTGGAGGTTCAGAGTTTTTTTTGGAGGTTGAGGGAAGGGGTCCGTCTTTCGGCATTTATTTTTACAAGACACAACAATTTTTTGGAAAGTTTGAAATGTTCACAATGACAACAACAACAAGAACAGCAGCTACAACAACAACAAAAAATAATGAGCATCCAATTCGTGCAAATAAATTGGAAAAGGCTAGCAGGCCAGGCCGTGCCAACTGAACGACCAACTAAGGCGGAATTATTTAAAAATAATTCGAATGACAAAAAAATGGCTACAAATCTTCGGAGCTCCATAGCCGGCCAATGGCTTTTTTCGGATGGGATGGGTTCAATTTTAAATGCTATGTCAAAATCTAATGTCGAGTATTTTTTGTTGAAATTTCCATCCCAAGCATTCAATTCAGCCACTAGCACCCCAAGAGCGTCGTTACGTCTGCCCTGCCACCTAATGGTTGCTGCTGGGCAGCTTTTTCGGATATTTTGCTTCTGGCCAAAATTTGAATGGTATTTTTGGATATTTTTTTGAGGTTTTTTCTAATAGCAAATGACAATTTTTTTGTTCGTTCCGTCGTTCGAATTCGTTGATTTCGACTAGTTCGACTGCTTTGCGACGAGGTCTGTCTGTCTGTCTTCGTTTTCGGGGTGCCTACAAAATGTCCAGTCATTTGTAAAAATTGCGGATTTTTAAATTTGAGTAAATAAACAAATAGACTGGGTAACATGTGAATGTGTGTATGTATGTGTATGTGTGTGTGTATAGGACATATATGTAACTACATGTTTCGGACAATAATAACAACAACAACAACAAAATGTGTGGACAAAAATGTTGTGTTTTTTAGCAATTACTATAGATTTTTCAACCATATCGAATAGTTTATGCTCTACTTAGCAGATTTCGGTATTTTTTTCAATAATTAAAAAAAAATATTGAAATGGATTTAAAAAAGAATCTCAAACTAGAATTTTTTTAAGAAAAACCAGTAAGGAAAGTAGTAAAGTCGGACGGGGCCGACTATATGATACCCTTCTCCACATGTGGTATATTCAACAGATGGAACCCTAACAGACGTCGCAAAGGACAAGTAAAATGAAATTGGATCCATAAACATGTCATTCTGCAACCGATACTAAATTTTTCATTTGGTTAGATGTAGAAGCTATATCTAAATCTGGACCGATTTTCACGAAACTTAACACACATCATTCTAGGCTTAATTCAGTACGCTGTGCCAAATTTCGTGCAAATCGAAAGATATTTAGGGTCATTGATGCAACATTTACGTTAAATCGGATGAAAATATATATGGGAGCTATATCTAAATCTGAAGCGATTTTCACGAAACATAGCGAACAGCATTCTAGGCTCAATTCAGTACGCTGTGCCAAATTTCGTGCAAATCGAAAGATATTTAGGGACATTGGTGTACCATTTACCTTAAATCGGACGAAACAATATAGGGGAGCTATATCTAAATTTTAACATTCGACTCAATTCATCTTGCCAAATTTCGTGCAAATCGAAAGATATATAGGGAACACACATCATATATTGGAGCTATATAATTCATTACGCTGTGCCAAATTTCGTGCAAATCGAGAGATATATATCGGACACAAATATATATGGGACTTTGGAAACATGCACCATTCTAGGCTCAATTTACCTGTGCCAAATGTCGTGCAAATCGAGATATATATATATATATATATATATATGGGAGCTATATCTAAATCTGAACCGATTTTTTCACAGACAAATTTACACCTAATTCATTATGTGCCAAAGGCCTGATTCAGTACGTAATGCCAAATTTCGTGCAATTCTTGACACACATATTCTAGAGATTCATTTGTGTGCACCATTTACCTTACGGAGAATCCGACGAAAATATATATGGGAGCTATAACGTAACACACACCATTCTAGACCTAATTCATTACGCTGTACCAAATTTTTTCCAATTTCAATAGGGTTCGTCCTTGGGCCAAATAAGTGACCTATGCCAAATTTCATCCAAATCGGATCATAAATGCGACCTGTACTTTGTTCACAAAAATACATGGACGGACAGACGGACTTTTTTCCAGCAGGATGTTAAAAAGGTCACACGACAAACTATCACCTGAATCCTCGTTCGGTATTGAAAGGCTCCGATAGGTCCTTTCCGACTTTAACTGCTAACCATGTGGCACTTAAAGTTATCCTGCATAGCCGTATTAATTTTGCAGGAATGCCAAACGCAGACATGGCACACGAATAGGTGCGTCGACGACTAGTTGGAATGTGTCGATGTATTTTTTTTTCAAGGATTTGGCGCAGAGCGAAAATCTGGTCCAATAATATCATTGACCAATCAAAGCCGTTGCTTGGTTTCTATCATCCCCCTATGCCACCCTTATTTTTTTTTTTTTGTTTTTGATTTTTTCGTATCCGAATATTCTGAGATTTAATTTATTTTATTTCTTTATTTTCTTCCACCTTAGACCAGTCTACTCAGTACACTGCCCATCCTGTTGGATCAAAGCCACCTAACTGATGTCACCATATCGGCCGAGGGACGAACGTTGCGTGCCCATCGTGTTGTGCTCAGTGCGTGTAGTTCGTTTTTCTTGGAGATATTTCGGACGCTCGATAATACCCATCATCCGGTCATTATAATACCGGGTGCCTCATTTCAGGCCATAGTTTCACTGCTCACCTTTATGTATTCGGGTGAGGTGAATGTGTACGAAGAACAAATACCAACACTACTGAGTTTGGCGGAAACCCTGGGCATCAAGGGCTTGGCGGATGTCCATAATAATGTAAGGCGATTGAAAATAATTTTGAAAATTAATTGAAAAAAAAAATAATTTAATTTTTGTTCTGGAAAGTTACAGAAATCCTCACAGAAACCCCATCATACCGGAGCAGGAAGTGTGGGAGGTGTGGGAGATTTAAAAGATCCAGAGGAACGGGAAAAATCCCTAACACCACCCACACCGCCACCACCATCATCACAGGCCGGAACGGCCACAAATAATTTCGCCATGCCCCAGCCCAACCCTGCAATTCCCCTACAACATCCAGCCAGCAATTTACCCCCCTCGTCACCCTTTAGCCCCCTCCTCAATCCGGTACTTAACTCAAAATTCCCCTCTCCTTTGGAGAATTTCTTTCTCAAATCGCTGCAATTCTATCCGAATTTAATGCATCAGCCATTGAATTTTTCACAAACTGCCCTGAACAAGACTTCGGAGATTTTGGCCAAATATCAGCAGCAATGTAACCTCTATCAGGCGAATTTGGCCATGCAGCCCAAAGACCTATTACCGCTGATGCCGCCTCCGAGTCCCAATGAGGAGATAAATCGTGGAGAAGATCTTCATGGTACCAAACGGTTTTGTACGGGTCTGGAGAAGAAGTGTGCCGTGGCGGGAGGGCAAATTTCGAGCTCCTCTTCCTCGGCAATGACAGTGGCTCAACAGAAGGATATGAAACGTATCGATAAAATTGTGGAGAATTTGAGAGGTTCTAACAGTTCTACAAAATTGTCTAACCACGAAAGTGGCAGCCCCGGTACCCCCACCTCCTCCCACTTGCATAACCAATTAAACCCCTTGAGCATCAAGACATCTATGGAACAGTTCAACACAGCCGCCACCTCACCTTTGGTGACGGAGAGAAAATCAAGTTCGCTCTTTGCAACCACCTCCTCCTCCTCACCCATTATATCGGCGGCGGAACCCAGTCCATCCAGCCTTACACACCCTCAATTAGGGTTTCAAATATCCCCCGAGGATCAGCTAAAATTACAACAACATTTGGACAAATATGCCGCATCGTGTGCTGCAGCAGCAGCCGCCGCAGCTGCGGCAGCCTCTGCCAGCGGCACCAATGAAAATCTGAAACAGGAGACAAGAGGAGGTGGGGCCGGTGTTGGAGGACAAGGCGAAAAATTATCAACTCCCCAGAGTCCTCAGGGCAAGACACCGTCCAGTTCAAAGCTCTATGCCACATGTTTCATATGCCACAAACAGCTATCGAATCAATACAACCTGCGGGTCCACTTGGAGACCCATCAGAATGTGAGGTAAGAAAGGGAGGGGGGAAGATTTTTGGAAATTTTTTTTTAATTATTTTTTTTAACTCCCCTTCACAGGTATGCCTGCAACGTTTGCTCCCATGTTTCACGCAGCAAGGATGCCCTGCGTAAACATGTCTCATATCGCCATCCCGGTGCCCCATCACCTTGTGAAACTGATGCTCGCCGTAAAAGGGCCAATAAACTGCTCGCTTCAACACTGAATGCCGCCGCAGCAGCCGCAGCTGCTGCCACCTCATCAACAAACACAACATCAACCTCCTCCCCAAATTCCGAAGATTTGAAATTAAATTTACCACTAACACCACCAGGATTTCCCAGCACACCAAGTGGCGAACGCCTGAACCTAGAACAAATACCAACATCTCCATCCCAGCAGCAACAACACCAACAGTTGGCCGCCCAGTTAAACTATCAGCAAATGTTTTTGCCCAATCAATTTCATTTGGCGGCCGCCAATGCTGTGGTACAACAACATCTAAGAGAGAAGCAGAAAAGTCCAGCACGATTGACACCAACCCCAACAACAACTCCTACCAAAGAATTGGGAGTGAATTTTCCCAAAGGGAATTCGGTGGTAGGGGAGGATACAGAAAATTCATCTAATAAAATAATTACACACACAACAGCAACAACAACAACTTCATTTTTTTTTTTTTTTTTTTTTTTTTTTTTTTTTTTATTTTTTTTTTTTTTATTTTTTTTTTTTTTAAATTTGTTATTACAAAAAAATATATTTTTAAATTTATATAAATTTTATTTAATTATTTTTTTATGAAAAAAATTAATTTTTTTATTAATTTAATTAATTATTTATTTTTATTTTTTTTTATTTTAATTTATATAATTTATTAAATTTTTTAAATGTTGTACTTAATTATTTATTATTTTTTTTTTATTATTAATTAATTATTTTTTATACCAAACCAATCTCATCCCATTGTTAGTCCCGACTGTGATATATATTCTTGCGTAAAAGTCATCATCCCACCAACGATTTTTTATCCAAGCCTTATTGTTACCCTTAGAATTAAATTAAAAAGAAAACAAATATTTGGTTTTAGGCACAAATAAAACACCCCTAGTACCATTTTGAAACACTGTGCCAACCAAAAACCAAGATTTTATTTTATTTTTTTTCCACTTGAGGCTAAAAAAACCAAAAACATAGTTAAATAGTTAAAAAACCTCTTATACGTATACGTAAAAAGAAACCTAAATCTCGTTTTTTCTCTCTATCTCTTAATTATCTTCTTTGTAAAGAGAAAGAGAGAGAGAGCGTGCACACAACGGTTTCTTTCTTTTAGTTGTAATTTAACTTATAGTTCGTTCTCTTTCATTTAGGTTGTATTTCTCCTAGATTGTCTTTCTCTTTGCCCATTTGTCTCTCTCTCACACACCTGTTAACTACACAGCACAACATCACATGAAACACTCTCTTTCTCTTATTCTATAAACACGTTCACACTCTTACTCTACACATCCATACACACACATACACTCTCTCTTAGTTTAGTATTGCAATGCATAATTTTAAGTAAATTTAAAATAATTAATTTTTTATACACAAAAAACACAACAACAACCACAACACAATGCACACAAAAGACAAAATATAAAATATATTTTATTAAATTAAACAAAAAAAATGTTGTTTTTTTAATAAAAAAAAAATAAAATAAAGTTTTTTTAAAATTAAAAGGAAATTGGTGTTATTGGGGAGATTTGGGGAGAGACTTTTAGAACTCATGTGGGGTGTAATGTTAACATATAACTAAGAAATAATTTTATAGGTCAAACCAACAGATCAACCAATGGTGGATTTAAAAAAAAATCATAAGGTATATATTAAAAAATTCATCGTGGATATAAAAATATTTAAAAAAATATAAAATAAATAAATAAAAAATATAATGAATTGTTTTTAAAGTTCAAAAAATAAATAGATTTAGAGATTTGCAGATATCTCAGCACGACTTTTTGACTTTGAGGGGGAGCGTATGAATATTGTCAGCGCTCATACGCACCTATGAAATAATTTAAAAAGCGGATTTTTTTAACTTAAGAAAATATTTAGGATTGGAATTTTTTGAAATATTTTTAAGGACCTACTATTTACTGGCTAGATAAAAAATCACAATAATAATGGCTTTATTTTAAATATTTTTCAAAGGACCTATCAAACGTATTTTGGTTAGATTTATTAGAAAGGTCATAATACGACCTTTAGACTGAGGATGGGGGCGTATGAATATTGTCAATAATTATATGCATCTGTAAGCAAATTTTAAAGGGCTAATCAAACGAAAAATAGTAAGGAGCGTGAATCGATCCATAATTTATCCACCAAATGTGGATTTATAAATGATCTTCAAACAATAATATCCGATTTTTAATTAAAAGGATTTTGGCAAAGGACCCTCAAAACAATAAATGTGTATTTTTCAAAGGACTCTCAGACCCCCAAATATTCCTCAAAGGACCCAATAGGCGTGGAGTTTTAAAGATACATTAGAGTGCATTAAGTTTCATTGAAATCGATTCATATTTATATATAGCTCCCATATATATTTTCGTGCGATTTTAAACATGGATTTTTAATGACAATTTTGTGCAAAGGACCATCACAAAGAAGTTCAGGAATTTTAAGAATTTTTTTAAAAGGGCCTCCATACTAAAGGTGGCTTTAAAGACTTTTTTAAAAGGAACTTCAAAAAAGAATATAAGACGTGGATTTCAACGAACCAAACAGGTCTTTAGACCTGGATTTTTAAAGACTCCTTTTTAAAGGACCTATCAGGTTCAAAGGACCCAGCTTGGTTTTTTTAACGACCACCATTTCAACGCACCCAGCAGGTCAATAGGCGTGCAATTTTAAAGAGCACCTTTTTAAGGGACCCAGCAGACCAACAGGTGTGGATTTTTAAAGATTAATTTTTCAAAAGGACCCTGCAGATCAATAGGCGTGGATTTTTAAAGACTACATTTCCAAAGGACCCGGCAGATCAATAGGCGTTGACTACTTTATCCGAATGAGATAGAATTTGGCACAACTCATTTATTTGGCCTAAAGACGAACCCCATTTAAATTTGTGAAAATCGGTTCAGATTTAAATATAGTTCCCATATATATTTTCGTGCGATTTTACGAAAATTGCACACCAATCACACAAGGTTTGTCCGATTGCTATGACATTTTGCATATCGGATGGAATTGAGTGTAGGAGAGAGTGTATTAAGTTTCATTGAAATCGGTTCAGATTTCAATATAGCTCCCATATATATTTTCGTCCGATTTAAAGAAAATTGGAATTGAGTCTAGAATAACATGTATTACGTTTCATTGAAATCGGTTCAGATTTTGTTATGGATCCGATTTCATGAAATTGTGCCCTAAACACCTAGCGTGTTTCTTCGATTAAGATGTTGTCTTGAACTTACCTGTTTGAGAATCATTTGAGTAGAATACAGCTTCAAACAATAAAATTCAAGAGAAATATCACATAACTCTCTTTTAAACACACAAATTATTTTTTATTATTATTATTTTTTTTTTTCATTGCAGAACACTAACACACACAAACATTCGCGATTACACCATGATATTTTTCATATTAACAGAATGGGAAAAATGGGAATTTTACATTTCTCTATTTATTTATTTTTTGTAATATTCAATACAACAGGAACCGGACACATTTCATATTAACTTCAACTTTATCCCTCTTCAAAAAAAAATTGCGCGCGCTAAATCTGAAAGCTTTTGGTACACACACAACGAAACCAATAGGGCATTTCTATTCTTTAACACACACACGTACTCTCGCGACTCAGTCGCGTCTCTTATGTTTAAGAAATAAACACATTTTTTTCAAATAAACAAGCAATTACCAAACCAAAAACACATCTCAAATGCGAAACAAATATTTATTTATTCGATTCACAAACTTTTCTTTTAATTTTCTTAGGATTTTCCCGGAAACAAACACAAAATAATTCACAGCGATTTGAAGAGCGACCGTTTGTTATAGAGTTGTACAGTTCAACAAGACGAATTGGTTCAAATGCTCGATTCATTGAAATGAGCCACTGAAATAGTTGTACTTTGATTTGATCTAAATGAAAGCCAAACCAAACGCGTTTTGCTTTAGCATATGATATGAAAAGCGCTTTCATTTAGGAAAACACAAAAGAATAAATTATGTTGTCAATCTTTTTCTTCTTCTTCTTAGCAAACCATGATGGCTGTTAATTTTTCCAGCAATTTTGTGATTAAAAACAAGTAAATTTTAAAGTCTTTTGAAACTTTTGAAAATGTACACATTATAAGACCATAGAAGTGTCTGATATTCCAATAAAACAGAAAATAACAATTTAAAATGTGGCAGTCGGTGTTGCTGACAGAAACTTAGTACACTCTATCACAATTGGACAAACCATGGGAGTTTGGTGTGGCATTTTCATAAAATCCGACAAAAATATATTTAGAAGCGATATTTAAATCTTAACCGATTTCTACAAAACTTAACACACATTATTCTACACTGGATTCCATACAATATCCAAACATTTCATCACAATTGGAGTTTGGTGTGCCATTTTTATAAAATCGTACGAAAATATATATGGAAGCTATATTTAAATCTGAATCGATTTCGATGAAACTTAATACACTCTATTCTACCCCCTATTCCAAACGTTTGGCAAAATTTCATCACAATTTAACAAACCTTGAGAATTTGGTTATCCATTTTCATAAAATCGGACGAATATATATTAGAGCTATATCGAAATCTGCACCGATTTCAATGAAACTTAATGCACTCTATCCTAGACTCAATTTCATACATTATACACAATTTCGTTTCAATCGAACAAAACTTTGGAAATTTGCTGAGCCATTTTCATAAAATCGGACGAAAATATATGTGGAAGCTATATCGAAATCTGAATCGATTTCAAAGAAACATAACACACATTATTTTAGACTCAATTTCATACGTTATGCAAAATTTCACCGCATCCGGACAAACCTTCGAAGTTTGGTGCGTCATTTTCATGAAATCGAACAAAAATATATATGGAAATTTGAACCGATATCAAAAATTTGAACCGATATCAATGAAACTTAACACACTCTATACTAGATTCAATTCCATACTCTGTGTAAAATTTCAATCGATCAAATCTTCGAAGTTTGGTGTGCCATATTCATTAAATCGGACGAAAATATAAGTGGGAGCTATATCTAAATCTGATCCGATTTTATCCAATTTCAATAGGGTTCGCCTTTGAAGCCAAATAAATGAGATGTGCCAAATTTGATTTTATTCGGATAATAAATTCGACCTGTACCTTGGTTTACAATTTAACATGGACAGATAGACGGAAGGACGCACATGCAAGGACCCAGCAGATTTTTAAAGATTTATTTTTCAAAGGACCCAGCAGGTCAATAGGGTACTTTGAAAAATATTTTTTCCAATAGAAATGAATTCGGAAAAATTTTTTTCTATGGAAAAAAAATTCGGAACAAATTTTTTTTTCGTCTATAGAAAAAAATTCGGAACAAAATTTGTTTTCGTCTATTGAAAAAAAATTCGGAACAAAATCTTTTTTCGTCTATAGAAAAAAATTCGGAACAAAATTTTTTTTCGTCTATAGAAAAAAATTCGGAAAACAATTTTTTTTCGTCTATAGAAAAAAATTCGGAACAACATTTTTTTTCGTCTATAGAAAAAAATTCGGAACAACATTTTTTTTCGTCTATAGAAAAAAATTCGGAACAACATTTTTTTTCGTCTATAGAAAAAAATCGGAAAATTATTTTTTGCAAAATAAATTTTTTATTTGTAATTATTTTTCTTTTTTCTTATATTTGATATAAAATTTTACGCTTCCAAAAAACGTACATACATAGTTGTTGTTGTGAGGGGATATTTTTTTTAGAAAACATACATACAATCGAAGAAGAAAGAATATTACATGATTTTCATTTTTAAATTACATAAATAAATTAATTTAAATAAGAAAGACAAACAAAAAAATAATTAATTATGATTGAAATACTTGTGTGGAACTTAAAGCGAGCAAAACGAAATAGGGGGAAAATAGGGGGCGCTAAATTTTAAAGAACGAAATGCATTAGTAAAGTAATGAAATATAAATGTGTGTGTGTGTACTGGACCAACAAATGAAGTTTTGCAATCATGATTTGTTTTGCTGATGTTGTTGGTTCGTTTCTTTTTTAAATGACATAGGTGGTAGTAGTTTTGGTTTTTGTCCCCCGGCGGTTTAGATTGTTTCAACATGCCAAACTTTGGTATTACAATCCTGGCCAGTGGAGATCACAGTGTTATTGTCCAACCATATCAAACGGGTAATCTGAGATTGGGGATGAGCATCTGGAAAAATCGAAAATAAATAGAAATTTATTAGGAAACTTAAATCGTGTCTGAAAATGTAGTCGGACTTACTTTTGATAATGGTATGCTTGGATGGATTGCTGACCGACCAAATAATAATGGTGGTATCCAAGGAACCACTGGCCACCAATTGGGAATTGGGTGACCAGGCAACCGTGTTGACACGGGCATTGTGGAAGCCCCATTCTTTGTTGTGGGCAGGCTGTAAAAAAAATATTTTAAATTAAAATATGAAAAAAATCCAACCAACTGAACCCTTACCTTATATTCCTCCACACTGTAAAGTACCACCTTACGATGAGCATCACATGCCACCAAATATTTATTGTCTGGGGAATAGGAACAATCGGTAACGGCACCCAAATGTTCCAATTCGGTTTTGGGTTCCAGTGTGGTACCCTTCAGTGTATAAATATGCAACTTTTGATCATCACCGCCCACGGCAACATCCAATGTTTCGGGATTAACGGTAATACTGCTCGATTCATATTTAATGGGCAAGGAAAAGGCTTTCTTTTGATCCTGAACCAGGGTTATTTCTTTGACACAGGCCACAGCAATGATGTTCTCATTGCGGAAAATGGCCAAACCGCGAGGTTGGCAATTCAATTTGACCACATAATCGGTAAAGGCATTCGATTCGATGTTAAATTGTCGCAAGCTATCATCAATGCCGCAGGTGTAGACAAAATCGCCCCAGGCAGCAATGCCGTTCATCTGGAAGGAGGAAAATAAAAAAAAAAATTAGAAAATATTTTTTTCCGATTTTTTTTTCTATAGAAAAACAAATGTTCCGAATTTTCCGATTTTTTTTTTCTATAGACGAAAAAAATGGTTCCGAATTTTTTTTCTATAGACGAAAATGGTTCCGAATTTTTTTTCTATAGACGAAAAAACTGGTTCCGAATTTTTTTCTATACGAAAAAAATTGGTTCCGAACTTTTTTCTATACGAAAAAAATTGGTTCCGAACTTTTTTCTATACGAAAAAAATTGGTTCCGAACTTTTTTCTATACGAAAAAAATTGGTTCCGAACTTTTTTCTATACGAAAAAAAAATTGGTTCCGAACTTTTTTCTATACGAAAAAATTGGTTCCGAACTTTTTTCTATACGAAAAAAAATTGGTTCCGAACTTTTTTCTATACGAAAAAAATTGTTTCCGAACTTTTTTCTATACGAAAAAAATTGGTTCCGAACTTTTTTTCTATACGAAAATAATTGGTTCCGAACTTTTTTTCTATACGAAAAAAATTGGTTCCGAACTTTTTTCTATACGAAAAAAATTGGTTCCGAACTTTTTTCTATACGGAAAAAATTGGTTCGAAACTTTTTTCTATACGGAAAAAATTGGTTCCGAATTTTTTTTTCTATGCGAAAAATAATTATTCCGATTTTTTTTTTTATACGAAAAAAATTGTTCCAAATTTTTTTCTATGCAAAAAAATTGTTCCGAATTTTTTCTATACGAAAAAAATTGCGAATTTTTTTCTATACGATAAAAATTGCGAATTTTTTTTTCTATGCGAAAAATAATTATTCCGATTTTTTTTTTTATACGAAAAAAATTGTTCCAAATTTTTTTCTATGCAAAAAAATTGTTCCAAATTTTTTTCTATGCAAAAAATTGTTCCGAATTTTTTTTATACAAAAAAATTGTTCGGAATTGAAAAAATCTAAATTTTCCACCCTTCCTCACCTGATTACCATGACCCGCTCCAGCAACACGATCATTGACACCACTACCAGAATTCCAGCTGGTCACAACACCATCATGACTACCGGTATAAATGGTACTACGATCATCGCTCAAACCCAAAACGGTAATGGGTTTATTGTGACCCTTAATGACACGCAATGGCTTCGAGGGGTCATTGACATTCAAATAGCTAATGTGACCCGATAGGGAGACAGTCAACAAATGTTCACCTTGCCAAAGGCAAGACACCTGTTGATCATCAACTGTGGTACCCATAACAAATTCTGAGATCAATTCACGTGTTTCAACATTCCATAGACGGCAAGTTTTATCACCGGAACATGTCAACAACTGGGTACCATCTGGTTTCCATGCCACGGCATAGACACCACCCTTATGGGCAGGGCTGCCAAATTCACCAATCAACTCCGATGTGGCACCATCATACAAGAATACCTTGCCATCAAAACCAGCTGAGGCAAAGAATTTGCCATCGGGTGAATAGCGTACGGCCTGGACGAAGCGGGAATGTTCCTGCTTGGTCATTTTGAATTTGAAGGGTGGGCCTTCGAAGATGCCAATGGTGTTGTCTTCACTGCCTGTAAGGGGGGAAATGGAAAGTTAGATTTAATTTATAAATCGGATTCCAAAGTGCTTGCTTACCTGTCACAATCCTGAAGGGTCTGGCAGGACGGAAATCACATGAATTGATGGGCTTCGATTGGCCACTAATTTCACCCACCGATGTACCAGTTTCGGTCATAAAGACATGACCAAAACGTTCACGTCCCTCACCCACCACCACAATACGTTGATTGTCGGGAGACCAGGCAATATCCTTAATTGGGCCACCAATGGGTTGGAATTCATTTTTCAAAATGTGTTCCTTGTTGACGGTATCCCAAATGCGAATCTTGCCAGATTGATCTGAAAATAAATACAAACAAAAAATTTATTATAAAATAAAAATGGAATTTTTTCGAAAAAAAAAAAATCGGAATTTTTTCGAAAAAAAAAATCAAAAAACTAAAAAAAACTCCATATTGTTCTAAATTTCCATATAGTCCCGACCAAAGGATTCTTGGAGATTTTCGGAATTTTGAAGGCCCTAACTGAATTCTCTTACCTAATTAGCTGTAATTTGACATTTCAGGATCTTAGAGGTTATAGAATATCCAGGCAGAAAATTATCAATGTTGTTTTAGTCTTAGGCTTAACCTCCAAGGAGGTCCTTCCGCGGATTTTCGATAATTTATTTGTTCTTGACACATTTTTCCATTCGAATTGGTTTTAATTAGGCATTTTGGGTTGTGATAGATAGGTCATAGAACCTCTTGGCGAAAAATTATCAAGGTAGCTTAAGACATAGATGTAGTCTCCAACGTGGGTCCTCCTTGATTTTTTTATATTTTTTAGGGTTCTAGACCCACTTTTTAAATCGAATTGGGTATAATTTAGCATTTCGGGGTCTGAGAGGTCCTAGAAACTCCTGGGGAAGAATTATCAATGTTGCTTAAGACATAGACGTAGCCTCACATGTAGGTTCCCCACGAATTTTTGATATTTTAAAGTATCTACACCCACTTTTCGATTCGAATTGGCTGAAATTTGGTTTTCAGGCTCTTGTCAAAAAAAATATCAATGTTGCTTCAAACTTAGACGGTGCCTCCAACGAGGGTCCTTCACGATTTTTTTTTATTCGAATTGGCTGTAATTTGTCATTTTGGTCTCTGAGAGGTTATCAGGCCGCCTGGTAGAAAATGTTCAATGGTGGCTTATAGATTAACATTGCCTCTATATGAAGGTACCCTCCGATTTTGGGTATTTTGAAGTCCATTACCACATTTTCCAACCAAGAAGTGGCTGTAAGTTTACGTTCCGACATACCCGCATCGGAAGGCACGATGATCTTGGACCTAATTTTCCCAATCAAAATGGCTGTAATTTAACTTCACGGGTTCTCAGAGGATAACAGACGATGCTGTGTAGTTAATTTTCACTGATGGATCCTATTTTGATCCAGCCCCCATATCAGGGCCCCTAACGATTTTCGATATTTTAAAAGGTGTTTAACGCATTCCCTGGCCGAAGTGATTGTATATTTGCATTAAGGCTTATCAAAGTTGGAGAAAATAACTCTTCGAAGAATATTTTCGAAAAGCGTCCATTTGTCTTTAGGCAGAATTAATTTTATCTCTTATATAACGATACCCACGATGTTCGGAATTTTAAAGATTTTGGACTAGTTTTCCAACTGAATTGGCTGTAATTTAATATTTTGAATTCTTATTAGGTAGAAAATCTCCACATCAAAAATTATCAATAACGGCCCAGTTTTAAATATAGCCCCCCTTATAACGATATCACCGATTTTCGATATTTTGAAGATCTTAGACATATTTTTAAACTGAATTGGCTGTAATTTCGTATTTTGGGTTTTCATTGGGTTAGAAATCTCTGTGCCAAAAATTAACAATATTGGTCCACTTTTAGTGATAGACCCCATATTACGTTACATCCCGATTTTCGATATTTTGACTATTTTTAGCTCGTTTTTGAACTGAAATTGGCTGTAATTTGCCATTTCAGGTTCTCATTAGGTAAAAAATCTCCATACCAAAAATTATTAATATTGGTCCTATATTAGTTATAGTCTCCATATAAAGCTACCCTCCGATTTTCGATATTTTAGCTATTTTGGCTGATTTTTTATGGTTTTTGATATTTTGATTTCCGACTACTTTAAAAAAATCGGAAAAAAAAACTATTTTATATCTGTAATTAATATTTTATCATTTGTATCAATTTTATTTCCCCCCTCCAACCCGCAGTATTTCTACTTCGTGCATGACGACCGAGTTTATTGTTCATAACATAATTTTCGCTTGGCTTAGCATCATTTTGTATAACCAGATTAGAGACATGATTTAGTGACTAACTCTTTTCAAACATAAATAATAAAACAATGAGGTGATAGATGAATGAATCATCGGAGATTAACACCTAGAAACATTTTGGAGGCGGCTTTCACTAGGGATTATGACACATACCACACACATAAAAAAGACATTCAATAATATGAAAAATGAATGAATTAGTTTTAAATGGGGGTCTTTTGCCGCTCCGATAAAACACAAATATAAAAACAAAACAAACAATTTATTAATTTTTGCTTATGTGAATCTCTGATAAAGGGGGAGATCCGCCGATCGACCAACCAACCCTTTAGTTTATTTTTGTTTTTTTTCTTATCGAAAAAATTAAACTAAAATCCCCTCGTTCCGCAAAAAACAGATAAGATTAGAATGCATTCCCATGTAGTGGAAAAAATGTGTGCGGAAAAAAATTCAATTCAAATCTGTAGCCCTCTTCTTTTGGTGAAATTTTAATATTTCACTTTCATTGGATGGCTAACCTTGACATTTTTCGCAATCCAATAAATTTTGAGAGAAAATTGTTTATTTATTAATTTCATAATGGAATTCAAAAACATATTACAGGTCTGAACAGCTGTAATATTTCTAATTTATCACCATATGCCGAATCGAAGTGTGATTCATGGTCTACCACCTGGCCTATTAATTGTTTAGTCATATTTTTCAAATAAGTCATAAAGAAGATAAATAAAAAACAAATATTCGTGTGATATTTTTTCAAAACATAATTGAAAAAAATTTAAAATTCGCCAAGGTTCAAAGAAATCCTAATATCACTGGTAGGGGTTATATGGGTACTATTTCTAATAATGGACCAACATTAATAATTTTACGTACGGAGATGTCCTACCCAATGAGAACCTGAAATATAAAATTACATCATATTCGGTTGAAAAGAGTCAAAAACCCTCAAAGTATCGAAAATCGAAGAGAGAAGCTATATGGGATCTATATCTAAAAGTGGACCAATATTAAAAATTTTAGGTACGGAGATTTCCTAGCCAATGAGAACCTAGGATATAAAATTACAGCCAATTAAGTTGAAAAAACGTGACCAATCTCACCAATATATCAGAAATCGAGGGTATAGTTAGGTGGGGGGCTATACCTAAAAATAAACCAATGTTAATAATTTTTGGTACGAAGACTCCCTACCTAATGAGACCCTGAAATATCAAATTACAGCCAATTCGGTTGAAAAACGAGTTCAAAATATCGAAAATCGGGGAGTAAATTTATATTGGGCCTACCCCTCGAAATTGACCAATATTAATAATTTTAGGTACGGAGATTTTCTACCCAATGAGAACCTGATATACCAAATTACAGCCAAAATTCATTTGAGTCCAAAGTTCTCAAAAAATAGCTAATCGAGGACATCGTAATATGGGACCTATCCCTAAAAGTGGACCAATATAAATAATTTTAGGTACGGTGATTTTCTACCCAATGATAACCTGAAATATCAACTTACATCTAACTCTGTTGAAAAACGTGCCCAAAATCCCTCAAAATATCGAAAATCAATGATATAGATATATGGGGGCTATATCTAAAAGTAAACCAATGTTAATAATTTTTGGTAAGGAGATTTTCTAGTCAGTAAAAACACAAAGTACCTAATTGCAGCCAATTCGGTTGAAAAACGAGTCCAAATTCATCAAAAAATTGAAAATCGAGGGCATCGTTATATGGAGGCTTATGCATAAGAGTGGGCCAATTTTAATAATTTTTGGTAAGGAGATTTCCTATCCAACTAGAAGCCAAACTACCTACTTACAACAAATTCGGTTGAAAAACGAGTCCATACCCCTCAAAATATCGAAAATCGGGGAGTAACGTTATATGGGGCTATATCTAAAATTGGACCGATATTAATAATTTTTGGAACGAAAATCTGCTACCCAATGAGAACCTGAAATAGCACATTACAGCCAATTCAGTTGAAAAAACGAGTCCAAAAAATCCTCAAAATATGAAAATCGAGGATATCGTTATATGGATAATATTATATGAACCAATTTAATTTTTCTTAAAAGTGTGTCTTATGTTTTGGCAATCTAAAATACATAAATAAATCTACTTCGAAGGTTGAAAAATTCGGCTAGAACCTTTAAAATATCAAAACATTTGTGAGCGACCCATATTTGAGGCTACATCGAAGTGTAAACCAGCACTGATAATTTTCTCCAAAGAGAACCCCCAAATTCCAAATTATGGCCACTTCTCTGTTAGAAAGTGCAGATCAGGCCTTTAAAATACCTAAAATCGATCGGTATAAAATATTCTCTCAGAAACCTTATAACCTCTCAGAAAAGTTCTTGTACTTTAACATTGTTCACAGCTTTCTCAGACGTTCTGAGATCGTTATGACCAACGAATTTGCATTTGACAACCTGGCCCGCTTTTTAACTCCTTCGATTTATTCACTAAAGCTAACCCCTAGACCTACGTTTAGCCTATTTGATTTCACTTTTTTACCTATTGAATTGTTCTCTATAAACGTCCCAATCTGTACTAGCTTTGTTATATAATTTTCTAAGCAGCCTTACGCGAGGCAGCAATATAATTTGACCACTATAGTGGCTGAAATTATCTCCAGTATATGTTAAAGGACAAGACATTTTATAGCACCTCATAAGATTTTCTGTAACCTTGTTCACAGCTTTCTCAACATCCTCAGCCGTTCTGAGATCGTTATGACTAACGAATTAGCATTTGAGCACTTGAATAGTTCGACTGGTAAACCATAGGACCTGCTGTTGCTATTATTATTATTCAGACGATTGATTGCTAACTTCAACAGGGGAATATGATCTGAATGAAAATTCCATATCAAAATATTCTGCAACATAATTTGAAGTTTTTTTTCCGCATCACGAATTTCCTCCACTTCTTCGGTCCTGATCTCTTTTCTCTTTATTTTCTATCACGCCAAAAAATATAAAATGCTGCTATGCATTATTTTCTTGCTTTACTATGATGACTTACCTCCAGATGCAATATAGAAACCGCTTGGCGAATATTTGGCCACATTAACGGCACACGAATGTTCCGTGTAGACATCAGCAATAGCGGGATTCTAGAAAATTGTGAAAAATGAAAAAGAGAAAAAAAAAACAAAATAAATCATTAAACATTTATGAAGAAAGACAAACAGATAGACGCATATATGTATATACTGTGAAAACATAAATAATGATATTCGCTGAATGCACATACGTACAAGAAGTACATACAAAGATAAATAATAATATGATAGACATGCCACCAATATGAAGAGTAAAAGAAGAAACGAAAGAGGAGAAATGTTTGCTAGAGAAATGGAAAAAATGCAGACGAAGTTTCGCAAGAAGTTGCAGTCATTGCGGAGCGTGATGAGGAATGGAGATTGAAGAGATATTATTTTAATTGAAAATTTCGAATTAATAATATTGAATAAGTGGAATTTATATATATAACCCCCTCGAACATGAAGAACCCAAAAAAACAAAAAAAAACAGTAAGAAAATTAGTAAAGTCGGACTGGGAGCTATAACTAAATCTGAACCGATTTTCACGAAACTTAACACACATTATTCTAGACTCAATTCTGTGCGCTATGCCAAATTTCGTGCAAATCGTGCAACATTTACATAAAATCGGACGAAAATATATATGGCAGCTATATCTAAATCTGTACAGATATTCACCAAACTTAGCACACATCATTCCTGGCTCAATTCAATACGCTATGCCGAATTTCGTGCAAATCGAAGGATATATAGGGACTTTGGTGCATCACTTAGATAAAATCGAAAGAAATAATATATGGCAGCTATATCTAAATCTCAATCGATTTTCACGAAACTTAGCACACACCATAGAGTCAATTCATTACGCCATGCCAAATTTCGTGCAAATCGAATGTAATATAGGGACTTTGGTACACCATTTCCATAAAATCGAACAAAAATATATATGGGAGCTATATCTAAATCTGAACCGATTTTTCCCAATTTCAATAAGGTTCGTCCTTGAGCCAAATAAATGAGCTGTGCCAAATTTCATCCAATTCGGATCATAAATGCGACCAGTACTTTATTTACAATTTAACATGGAAAGATGGGCGGACGGACGGACATGCATAATTCGACTCCGAAAGCGATTCTATGCTTATTCTCAAAAGGAACCATGTGCATATTTCAAAACCTAAGATTAACCAATCTTGATGTACAGGAGTCAGAATGAAGCCCGGAAATTTTACCAACGAGTAAAACACCTAACCGAAGTACAGTCACATCCTCCTGAAGAGATGAAGATGGAAACCTGGCGACAGATACAGACTGCGTGTTGAGGATCTGGAAGGAGCATTTTGAAAAGCTTCTGGTATCAAATAGTGGCGGTGAAGAAGATACCCCAGTATCAATAAGAGATGACGGTATAGAGTGTACACCACCTAGCCAAGATGAGGTCAGAGTAGCATTTAATCGGCTGAAGAACAATAAAGCATCAGGTGCCTATGGATTACCAGCCGAACTATTCAAGACCGGTGGTCTGATGCTGGTCAGGAGCATGAACCAGCTGATTAATACAATATGGCTAGAGAAATGCATGCCCAATAATTAGAATCTCGGCATCTTGTGTCCCACAAAAGGAGACAATACGATATGTGTCAACTATAGAGGAATAAATCTTCTTCCCATCGCATATAAAGTGCTATCCAGTGTGCTGTCTAAACGACTGAAGCCATGGCATTATTGGACCATACCAACGCGATTTCTCGGAGCACTTCAATACCGAACGAGGATTCAGACAAGGTTACTGTTTGTTATATGACCATATCCTTTTGGAAAAGGTCATATGAGATGCAAATGTGAAGAGAAACGGCACTCTGTACATCAAAGAGTATATGTTAAGCCTTGCCTACGCCGACGACATCGACATAATGGTCGAACATTGAGATTGAACGTCTATCTCGTCGAATTAGCAGCCTTATTTAAAGCGAGGAATATGAAAATATTCGCCAAGAAGTCGTCAGCCACATTGTTCACCACATGGAATGCGGAGATGAGAATGCCGTTGAATGTGCAGGTCGAGGGGCATACAATTCCGACCACCAACTACCCCAAAATACTCGTGCGCGCAAACCACAGCTATCTGCGATAAGTTGAAAAGTAGGAACAAGGTCTAAGGCTCAAGTCGCTTGCCGGCAGCACTTGGGGCGCAGATAAGGAAACCTTGTAGACCTCTTTCAAAGCGATAGGTCGGTCTGTGGCGAGTTCTTTCTAGTGATACGCAATGGAGAAGTATTCAGACCTGTCAGAACGCCGCCCTGAGGACTGCGACAGGGTGCCACCAGTGGACCATCTTCCTGAGGAGACGAAGATCCTTTTCTTACGTTAGCATAGAAATATGGTTTCGTTGCAGTACATGCTCGGCTGTTTCAGGGACAATAATTCCAACCATCATATGGTTGATAGGACTCCCCCACCCAGGCGTGTCAGGAAGGATCTAGAGAGAGAGGTTCAACGTTACAAAAGGGAGCCTTTAGATCAAGTTGCCTATCGAGCAGGTCTGAATGGCATTCATACTGATGCAGTAGCCGCAGCGCTGAACGGATACAGATTGAATGCCGTCCTCGACATTTCGCTTTTTTCAATGACATAGTCCCTATAATAAAAAAAATGTTCAAAAAAATTGAAACTCCAATCTATTTCCAGTTCACAGATTTTTTTGTAAATTCAGTTTTATGTTCTCTTTATCTCAATGTAGTCCCTCAATTGACATTTGAATTCCACATAAAAAAATCCTCTTCCCTCTTCAAATTTATTATCCACTTCTACAGCCAATTTATGGCCAGAATTTGATTCTTCTATAGGTCGGAAATACGGCAGAATCTCTGAAAGTAGTTTTCCAATTAATTTCCTGAACATTTTTTTTTAATTTCCCCATTGGAAAATCTATAGAAAATACTATTAAGAACCATTTAAAATATATTTTAAAAAATTGGTAAACTTAATCCTCCTCACCCTCCTCTTATCTTTTATCTATTTTCCATAGGCAATTCATTATTTCCAAATACCCAGAATTTGTTTCTTCGTTTTGGGTCATGCCAAAAGCTATTTAGAAATATCTGAAAACAAATTTTTGCTGCAGAATTTCATTTAAAAAAATTTGGGATATGATCGCAACAACACGAACACACGAATAAATGAAGAGAAATAAATTTCAAGTTGTTGATGTTGTTGTTGTTATTGTGCATTGTGTCGTGTGCTGTTGTTTGAATTCACATAAATGTGGGACAACAGCTGCGTCTAATGGTTCTGCTGCTGTTGCTTTTGGATAAAAGTCAGTATTGTATGTATGTATTAAATGTGGGGTCTTCTTCTTTACAAACAAACAAAAAAAAAAAAAACACCGGCAATATATAGCCGCCGCCACCGGCCAAGCAAAACCAATACTCAGCCAAAATGTGAAATGTCGGATGTGAGTGGGTGGTTGGATGGTTGGGGTGTAGAGCGTAGACTATAAACAACCAACGAATTTTCTTGTGTTCTATAAAATTTCTAAATAACAACAACAAAAAATACGATCGCCAAGAAATATCCACGAAAACAAGGCAGGCAGCCAGACCGACAAAGTGACAGACGAACTAGCAAGCGCAAGCAGTCAAAATGAAAATCTCTGTCTACATTTAAGAATCTTCTGATGTTTTCCATTACGAAAATATACCTAAAGCCCAAGACAAAGAATGTTTGCTATGCCTGTTCCTGCTGCATTTGGAAAATACAAATAAATAAAAATAACAATTAAATAAATAAATTAAAATTATATTTTAGAAATACTCACATCAATATTCCTTATAATCACCGAATTTCCATTGGTATAAAGGAAATTTTTACCTTTGGGATCAGAACCCAAGACAATGGGTTGGCCACGTTGTGTACGAGGTAAGGTTGCATAAATGAATTCTGGAAAAAAGTAAAAAAAAAAAATAAAATTAATAAAAATTAGTAAAATTGGTAAACAAATTGCAGAGATAGGTAGACAAATGAAAGCAACCGGGAAAAGTGAACGGAAGTAAATTGATATGAAAAGAGAGACGGAGAGAGGAAAAACAAATGCACACAGTAAAGAAATAGATAGGAAACCCCTTTAAAAAAAAACTACAATTATTTTGTTTGTTGTTGTTGTTCGCATTCTGCTCTTGCATTGTTGTTTCTGTTTACCATTCAATGCTCCAATTGTTGTGTATGGTGGCTAGGCTATTCCGACTCATTGTTGCTTCTTTACCTTTTGATAGAAAAAAAACCCAAAGGAGGGTGGGTACGGAAATTTGAACGGTACCAAAAAAAGGGAATGTGTAATGGATACCCCTTTGCAAGTAACGGTAATTTTAGACCATTAAAAGTGAATGGCCACAGATGGGGGAAATGATCTCCAAATACCCTCGAACCATTTTTGGGTATTTTATTGAAGAAATAAGTACAAAAGATGCGAAATTTGGGGGCTGAACTTTTTAAACCTCAGTGAAATACATTCAAAATGGTTTGGGACCTTGATGTGTCGACTATGCCATTGAAAAAGCAAAAAAAAAATTAAAATTTTCGACTATAAGATGGAAAAATTGGGCTGAACTATTGCAGAGATGAGGCTATAAAGTACATGGAACTGTAATCATCTGGGAAGAAATTTTGTATTCACTAGGAATCCAGAATACCAAATTATAGCCACTTCGTTGGGAAAATGCTACTTAAACCATCAATGTTATATCGAAACAATTTCGGGAAGGAGGTATGTGAAGATATAGATCAACATCGAAAATCATCTGGCCCTCCAAGAACCCGGTATAATCGTTTGGAAAATGAAATGAAAGCCTTCAAAATACCAAAAATGTGAAGACTATACGTATAGTTATTCCGGAGTGCCAAAATATAGGCCATTCGGTTAGAAAATGCGCAAAGTACCATCAAAATACCAAAACTAAAGGGGCCGAACTTTATATTGGAGATATACCTAAATATTAAACTAATATTGATATTTTCTGTTAGGAAGATTTTCCACCCAATGAGAGTCCAAAATATTAAAATAGAGCCAAAAATGTGTCAGATATTCTCAAAATACCTAAAATATTTCCAAAATCTATACAATCTAAAATATTGGGACTAATAGTGGGGGGCGATTTTAAAAAATGTGGCAAGAAAATTGACCTCCAGTTTTTTTCTTAATATGGTTATGTGGGTATCGAAATATTGATTTTAGATCCCATGTTTCATTGGACCAAATCCGTGTCAGACAATTTACAAATGTCCATCTGTTTGTGTGTGTCTGGCTGGCATATGCGCATGATAAAATTGGCACATCGTAACATTTCTTATATCAAGTTCGGAGATGGGAAATATCGGACAACTCCTTCGGGTACCTCCCTGGTAAAAACTTTGCTAAAAAAATTAATTTTATAATATAATGGGAACTGCGATTTGAACCAAACTTAGCATAACCTAATATTTTTACCTGCATATACTTGGGAAATTGAACTTATCGGCGCATTGCCTCTAGTACCTCACCCACAAAGGATAAACATGTTCAATTCTTATAAAGCGAAGCGAATGGAATTTCCAATTAGACCCAAAAGTTTGCGTATCGTAATATTTCTACCAATCCTAGATTGAGGCCGAAGATCGGACCTATCGGTCCACCCCTTTGGGTACCTCCCCTACAAAGTGTCAAAATGTTCAATATTTATTCAATATTTGCATATCCAATATTAGGCGAATGAAATGGACGATATGAGCCAAACTTTCCACGGCCTTTTATCTATACCAAGCCTAGATTAAGTTCGAAGATGGGGCCCATTAGTCCATTCATTCTATTACCTATAGTACCTATAAAGGGCTCCACACACCATATGGCATGCATGAAGCATTTGAAGTAGTATTAGTAATTTTGTGTCACTTTGCGTATGTATGTGTGAGGATTTCTTGCAGCTTTCGAACGTTCGAGAGCCAATATCTTGGGGTAATTGTTGTTGTTGCAGCAGTTCAATATGTATTATCATTCTTCTTGTTTGATTCAATCTGGTTCTGGTCTTGTCTCTATGTTAAGAATTGCACCTACTTCCAAAGGCTGCAGTCACAGATCTTCTGGAGTAAGTCAAGTAGATTTGACAGGGCAATTGATGGTAAGGATGATTATCCCGGGACCACGAGAATTTTGGTGTAGTTGGTGGTCGGAGTTGCAAATTCAACGGCATTCTCATCTATGTGGTGAACAATGTGGCCGAAGATTTTGTGTCGTATATTTTCATAATCTTCGGGTGGAAGAAGACTTCTAAATCGGTGGTAATACGGTGTTGTTGTATCAACTCTACAATTTCGCTGATTTTGATGCGAAGACCATCGCAGTTGAACTGCAAGAACGATGTATTTTCTAGGCGCGGAATAATATGTGGTGCGGGGGTGTCTCGTACTCCGACGAATCGGACGACGACTACTGAAATACACTGGGAGACGTGTTAGCGCAGCATGAAGCGATGTAACTCCTGTGTCCAGAGTCCAGAACATGTATTTGTTGAGATGGCAGCCTCTGGTCGGAGTCCATCTCCGAGTCAATTCGGTACATAGAACCAACCGGCGTGGGATTGGGTAATGGAGGTAATGGAGGTTGTTGTTGTAACAGTCCTTTTGCTTTTACACAATCATACTTTGGACGAGTAATACAAAGGGTCGTTTCGGAATTACCAATCGCCGTATACTACTCCGAAATTATCATAGGTGTTTTGAATTGGATTTTCTTATTTCTAAACCTTTTTGGATCCAGACACTCTACACTTGATCCATTTTTTTTTTAATTTCTTTCTAAAAGTAATTTGAATATTTTTTTCTGTTCAGAAAAATCAAAATTCATATTCCCACCTGTGGCCCGCCAACCAATTTTCGGAACACTTCATTTGTATAGCCCAAATGTTGGGGTCCTACTTTGGTCATTTCCTTACTGTCGTCGTATACTGCTCCGAAATCATCACAGGGGTTTTGAATTTAAATTAGATTTTCTTTGGCTATTTTGGTTTAAAAATATAATCAGATGTCATTTCTAGACCTTTTTGTATCTTGACCCTCTATTCTACATTTGATCCAATTGTTTATGAAATTTCTTTCTAAAAGTAATTTGAATAAATTTTCCTTTCAGAAATCTGAAAAATTCTTATTCTCACCTTTGGCCGGCCAACCAATCTGCGGAACACCTCTTTTTGTATAGCCAAAATGGTCCTTTTCTTACTCTATTTTTTACAAATATATTCAGATCGATTTCCTAAAACTGTTTGTGCCTTTGCCCTCTAGTCTACACTTGATCCACATATTTTTACAAAAATTTCTTTCTAAAAATAATTTGAATGACATTTTTTCTTTTTAAAAAATCTCAAAATTTATATTCTCACCTTCGGCGGGCCAAATATTTTAATCTCATTTCTAAACCTGACTCTCTAGTCTACACTTGATCCAATTTTCATTAAAATTCTTTCTAAAAAAATTCAAAAATCTAAAAATGTTATTTAAAAATTCGTTCATTCTAAAATCTCTTAAATTTCCAATTTTCACCTTTGGCCGACCAACCCTCGTATATGAGTAAAAACACAACTGCAAATAAGAGGGTGCGGCTTACAGGTTACAAATAGTAAGAGGTAAAGAGGGGGTCATCAACAACATGTAAATGCCGGCTAATTTGTGTTTAATCAAGATACAGCTACAACAACAAAATAGTAAGAGAGCTAACAGAGGCAGACAGACCAATTACACTGAGAAGTAAATAAAGAAAAAGTCAGCCAACGCATCACCACCACTCAGACTGCAAACTCAAGAGACAACAACAACAGCAATAATGGCTAAAAAACATTTCTATTTATGGTCATAATTTTTTTCGTTGGTCTTTGACTTGTTTTGAAAATTATTAGAATCATGATTTTCTTTGTCGTAGATTTACAAAATTATACACAGCCGCCACCGTCGCCGTTATATACACACATCTCTACATACATATATGACTAATTTCTATTACTTTGTTTCTTCTTCTTTTGGCCAAAATGGCCAAATCGTGTATATGTAGTTTTTTTGGTTAAAAATAACTTTTAATTTTTTTCTAAGATTTCGCATTCATTTCGGTATCATTTTTCCACCGCACAGCACACTCACACTACCACAAAGCGGCGACAAGACGAGAACAAAACGGAAATGAATGAGTGAAAAATCCCCGTAGCAAAAAAAAAAGAAATAAAGAATTGCAACACTCACTGTTTTCATAGGCTGGTTGTTGTTGCTGTTGGGCCATGATTAATCTTGGCTTTCTTGTCTTGTTTTGTTATAACAAAATTAAATATATATTTTTCTTGTATTATAATTATTTATATATGTATATAAAAGTATAAAAAATTGTTGTTTCACAAATCACTTGAAATCGAATCACTTTTTTTTTTGTTTTTTGGTATTTTACGAAACAAAATAACCCCAAAAACGTTAGACGCACAGACTTCCACTTGAGTCACTTGCAGGCAGACAGTGTAACAACTCGCAAAAAAACACAACGGAGAGTGGCCAACAGAAGAAAGCAAAATGTAGGGATCGCAAGATCGACATTTGACTAATCGATTAATTGAACGATAAACAATCAAATGGGGTGATTATTACCATGGCCTATAAATAAGGTCACCAAGATAGCAATCGAAATCGTAAAACATCTGTTTTTTCTCAAGTCTAATGTCAAAAATTTCGACTTTGTTTACGTTTTCATAATGGAAGTCAATTCACAATAATGCATTTTGACAGCAAACTTGAGAGTTATCGATAATCAGCTGGTCTCCCTTGGTGACCTTATTTATAGGCCATGATTATTACTATGGCATATGATTAGGTTTACATGGAAATGTATGACAAATTGGATTTTGACGTATATTTGCATAAATAAATGTCAAATTTTGAATGAGGGATTAATATTTACTTTCAAAATAGTTTAAATTCTTAAAGAATGCCAATAAAATTTAAAAAAAGATGAAAAAATATAAATTTTCCGAAACCATAAGGTTTTTAGACTACTAAATTCACTCGATTTCTAACGTCAATTATGTTTTGCTCCAGAACCTGCAATAATCGAAATAATTTTCCCATTATACATTTTGGGTCAGTATGCGTATCGTTTGAAACTATTAAAGTTTTGATTACAAAAAATGTAATGTATCGAAGAATACCATTGGTCTGTTCCCCAATAAAAAAATAATAAAACCTAGATAACGAATTTTCCTTTATGTTATCGAAGAAAATAATAAAACCTAGTAGATTCTTGCAGTACCTATATATAGATACCTTCCGATTTTCCTCATTTGAGCGCATTTCTAATTCGATTTGACTGTATTTGTTTATTTTGCATTCTTATTGTGCAGAAAATCTCCCTACTAAAAACCAGCAATATTGGTCCAAGTTTCGTTGTAGTTCCCATATAATGGTACCTCTAATTTTTCGTCATTTTGGATATTTTGTGGACATTTCTCAACCGAAGAGGCTGTAATTCGTTATTTTAGGTTATTATTGTTTAGCAAATCTTCCTATTAAAATTATTAACATATATGGGCACGTCTTGAAATATCCCCCATTTATCGGTACCCTAAATTGTGGTATCTTGCGGATTTAATAAAGTTTTCTTAACCGAATTGGCTGGAACAGGGATTAGATTGCCTATAAAGACTCTCAGGTTCTGATTGTCTATAACGAATCCCTGCATTTGTCCCTGCCTGCCTTCATCTATAAAACCTCCCCTCCCTGATATATAAACACTCCCTGCTTCGGATCGTCTACAAAGACTACCTTTAGGTCGCCCATAAGGACTCCCTTCAGCTCGTCTATAAATAATCCCTGATTCATCTCGTCTATAAAGACTCCCTGCTTCAGCTCGTCTATAAAGACTCCCTGCTTCAGCTCGTCTATAAAGACTCCCTGCTTCAGCTCGTTTATAAAGACTCCCTGCTTCAGCTCGTCTATAAAGACTCCCTGCTTCAGCTCGTCTATAAAGACTCCCTGCTTCAGCTTGTCTATAAATGGTATGTTCCCGTTCTGCGAGAATCTGCCATTTTTTACTCCGATAACACTTTTTTCCTTTATGATATCGAATAAAATAGGAAAATCGAGTAAATTCTTGCAGTACGGGAACAGATCAAAAGACTCCCTGATTCAGCTCGTCTATAAAGACTTCCTTCAGCTCGTCATACACAATTTTTAATCCGCCCAAATTCGATCTATAAAAACCTATCATAATATTGTTTTAAATTTTTAGATCCCTATCATTCTTCGTTTTGTTTTAATTCCAATCTTTATCGATATTTCTTTTCACATTAGTTTTCCTTTCGCATATTTCTTCATAGTTTTGCAAATTTCCTAATAAATAAGTTTTTATAAAAGTCAGAAAAATCAGTTCCAAAAATGCTACAACCTGCCAATCTGAAATTCACAAATCCCCTCTATGGCCAGTTGATTGTTGGCCCACCCGGCAGCGGAAAGACAACCTATTGTCAAAATGCCTTTAAATTCTATAAGGAACTGGGCCGGCAAGTGGGCATCGTCAATTTGGATCCGGCCAATGAGAATATGGACTACACCGCCTGTATTGATGTAATGGAATTGATTACTGTTCAAGATGTTATGGATACAATGCATTTGGGACCCAATGGGGCTCTCATGTATTGTGCAGAATTTCTGGAGGAACATCTCGAAGATTGGTTGTTGCCAAATTTACGGAAAAAATCCGCCGAATGTCGTTATTTCCTATTCGATTGTCCAGGACAAGTAGAGCTGTATACCCACCACGCCTCCATGTCACGGATATTTGAACGTTTGGAACGGGAAGGTTATCATTTGGTAACAGTGAATTTAATTGATTCCCACTATTGTTCGGAACCAAGTAAATTTGTCTCAACCCTATTGTTGGCCTTAAATATGATGTTGCGAATGGGTTTGCCGCACATTAATGTTCTGTCCAAGGCGGATTTACTCAAGCAGCATGAAGATAAATTACATTTTAGTTTGGATTTTTATACAGATGTTTTAGATTTAAAATATCTTCTGGAGGTATTGGATGACACGCCATCATTGAAACGTTATAAGAAGTTGAATGCAGCCATTTGTTCGATGGTTGAGGATTACGCCCTTGTTTCGTTTCATTTGCTGGACTCCCGCAGTACGGAGAGTATGCTGCGTTTAAGAAATCATTTGGATAAGGCAAATGGTTATATTTATAAGGCTGGTGAAGAACAGAGTGTTAATGCACTGATGGCATGTGCTGTGGGTGCCGAACCGGAAACTTTACGACAAAGTAAAGATATTGATCCGTATGTTTAGTTTGCGGAATAGAATAATTTTATTTGTAAATAATGGCTTAATAAAAATTAGAATTAGTTCAGCAGAATAAGAAAATTGCCACTCTGTGGGGGGTGTCTGAAGTTCCTCAGTTATTGAGGATACTTCATCAGTCTTATAGTCGAGCCTAAAGGGAGTTCTTGTAGAAGAGCTGAAGAGGGGAGTCTTTATAGACTAGATAAAGAGGAGAGTATTTATTAACGAGCTGATACCGAAAGTCATTTATAGACGAGCTGAAGTGAGCGACCCGAAGCGGGGTGTCTTTATAGATGAGCTGAAGAAGGAAGTATTTATCTGAAACAATTAAACACCCTTTCCCTAAATGACAGATTTTGTACTTTATTCCATTAATAATTGACAACTTTCGATTTTTAGATCCCTAATCCACTTCATTCAATGGGGTATAATTCACCTTTGGCATGCTAATAATAATGAACAAAATTAATTCCTCCTATTACATTAGACCCTTAAATATATTTAGAAATTAAATTAAACACACTTTTTCATTAAATGACAGATTTTTTTACAATATTTCTTTAATAAATAGTGCGCTTTATTAACCACTTTCGATTTCTGGATCCCTAATCCACTTCATTCAATGGGATATCAATTCACCTTTGAATGCCAAATAACAAAGAACAAGCATTGTTTTGGTTTTTTCTTTACAATAGACTCACACGTTTTTAAAGTTTGTTTTATTAAAATAAAATAAATAACAATTAATTAAATAAAATAATATCCAGCACGACCAAATGTTTGCATTGGCAGAGTTAAAGGATACCATACGCATAGCACCGGAACAATTTAATTTGAAATTGGTGGAGGCCATTAGAGATGAAATTAATCGGAAGCTAGCCAATAAGGTATGGGACAAAAATAGCCCATTTTTTATAATAAATAATTTATTTTTATTTCATTTTCCGAACAGGTTTTACTTAATGTCGGCCTGTGTATAGCCCTTAAGGACATCGTTTCCCTCAAAGACTCCATAATATTACCCGGTGATGGTGCCTCTCACACCGAAGTTATATTCCGCTATATTGTTTTTCGCCCGGCCATCAGTAACATCTTGACAGGGAAAATACGTAATTGTAGCCATGAGGGTGTCCACGTGACGCTGGGCTTTTTCGATGATATTTTAATACCACCAACGGCGCTGCAACATCCTTCACGTTTTGATGAGACGGAACAGGCATGGGTATGGGAATACCCATTGGAAGATGGTGGTAAACATGATTTGTTTATGGATGTAGGGGAACCAATTAAATTTCGTGTTTCTCGAGAAATTTTCGAAGAAAGTTCACCAATTGGACCGCCCTCGAGTGATGCCATGAAACCGGGAACATCGGCGGCAGCAAACACATCAACTGCTGGTCAGGGTGGGGGTGGTGTAAATGAATCGAAGACACCGTATAGAATAATTGTGAGTGATGATATTTTTATTGTTGTTGTTTTTTATTTTATTATTTTGTTTTTATGGTTTTAGGCCGCCATAAATGAATCTGGTTTGGGTGTCTTATCCTGGTGGGACCAACAGCAACAGGAGGAGGATGATGGCGGCGATGAAGAGGGCGACGAAGATAATAATGACTATGAAAATGACGAAAATGGTGATGGTGCCTATGAGGAATAGTTTTGTAATGTAAATAAAAATTTAATTGTTAGTTGAAAAAATTAAAAAAAATTGATTTAATTGTGGACATAGTCAAACCCCTCTTAGACTTCAGGATGAGAAATATTAAAACTTTTTGAAAAATAGTACCTTTTGAGTATCGGAAAATGCAATTTCTTGCAGCATACAACCTCACAACGGTCAGTAATGTTTGGAACGTTTAGCTAGGACCCCTAAAACAGGGTTTAAAAAAGAAAAAATCTTCTGCCAGTGGTCCTTGAAAAATAGTCTTAAAAATCCATTTACAAAAATTTTCAAAAATCCTTGATTTTCTTCCTGATAGTCCTTTAATTTTTATTCTTAAAATATCCTGGATTTTCTGTGGGATCGTATGTGAAAAATATTAAAAAAATCCATAATTTTCTTCCTGTTGGTCCCTAAAAAATTCTGAAAATTTTGAATTTTTTGAAGAATTTAAAATCATGAAAAAGAAACTTTTTCTAAATCGAAGCCTTTAATTTTTTTAGGACTTTTTACTTAAAAAAAATCTTGAAAAAAATTTTTTAGAAATTCAAAAAAATATTGGAACAATTCTCAAAATTTTGAAAAAATTATTTATAAAAATCTGGGTATAAATTTTAATAAAAAATATCTTCTTAAAGAAATCCATAAATATCTTCCTGTTGGTCCCTAAAAAAATTCTGAAATCCTGTTCGCCCTTAAAAATTCTGAAAATTTTTAATTTAATTTAGGAATTAAAAATCATGAAAAATAAAGCCTTTAAAATTTTTTCTACAATTTTTTTTTTCTAAAAAAAATTAATTCTGAAAATCTTGCAAAAAATTATTTATAAATTTAAAAAAAATACTGAAACAATATTTTTTACATCTTAAATATTTTTTAAAAATCTTATCAAATCCATGACTACTTTTTTATAAGAAAAAAATATACATATTTTTTTAACTACTTGCTTCAAAAATATTTTTTTAATTCAAAATAATTCAAAATAATTGCTTTAAAATTTTTTTATTTTTCAATTTTTTTATATCCAAATGTTTTTTTTTTAATTTTGTTCCTTAAAAAAAATTATTATAAAAAATCACTTGAGTTTGAAAAACTATTGTTTTTTAAATCAATACCCATTGGTCCTTTAAAAAAAACATTTTTTTTATAAAACATCTACAGTGGTGGTCACAGAATTAAAACATTTACAGTGGTAAACATTTTTTGATCAGCCCTCGATTCGTTTGAAGTATTCTTGAAAATTTTTTAATTCAGAACACTTCGATATATAGCACTTAAGAGATTTAGTGTGAAAATAGAATATTATTGCATGCAATTTTTCCATAAATAACGGTTTTTTTGAAAATACATCGACTTTGAAGTGGCCATATAATTAAAACATTGTGTGGGATTTTTAGTTTACTGCATTTTTTGAAAATATTTTTAGAAAAGCTCTTTTATTTAGTTAAATTATGTAAAATAAGCACCGATAAAATCATTTACAGATAAAAATTGTTGACAAAATCTGTAAAATCTATCAAAATTGCCAAAAATTTGTACAGTACACCTTACATTCAGATAATCACCCTTATTATAGAAAATAAAGGTCCGAATGCAGCAGAAATTGCTAAAATTAGTAGAAAACAATAAATAATTCTCAAAATAAATAAATATTTGAAATAAAAACTCAAAAAGTGGGAATTAACCTAAAGGAACGATTCAATTTCAATGGCCTTTACTGAAGAAGGCCGGAATATTTTTGCGGTATGTGAGAAAAAAATCGATTGATATTGGTATTTATTATATCAAATCGACTGTTCGAGTATTACAGAATATATTATATCAAAAAATATATGGGTCAGAACAGAACGAACAGAGATCAACGCCTAGGTTGACGAGTAAAAGTTTCTGGCACACAGCAGCATTTTTGATGTTCAACACAAGACTTCAAATATTTGTCAAACTGTAAAATTTTTTCTTCCTTTATACGTAAATAGATTAAGTGGAAGTTATTCGATTCAAAAAATATTATTTTGGAAAAATATTGTCATGTTCAATAGATTTTAAGTGTCATGAGTTGACCATCAAACAAACTGCTGTGTGCCAGAAACTTTTACTCGTCAACCTTGGCGTTGATCTCTGTTCGTTCTGTTCTGACAGATATATTTTTTGATAATATATATTCTGTAATACTCGAACAGTCGATTTGATATAATAAATACCAATATCAATCGATTTTTTTCTCACATACTGCAAAAATAATCCGGCCTTCTTCAGTAAAGGCTATTGAAATTGAATCGTTCCTTTAGGTTAATTCCCATTTTATGAGTTTTTATGTCAAATATTTATTTATTTTGAGAATTATTTATTGTTTTCTATTAATTCTAGCAATTTCTGGTGCATTCGGACCTTTATTTTCTATAATAAGGGTGATTATCTGAATGTAAGGTGTACTGTACAATTTTTTGGCAATTTTGATAGATTTTACAGATTTTGTCAACAATTTTTATCTGAAAATGATTTTATCGAAGCTTATTTTACATAATTTAACTAAATTAAAGAGCTTTTCTAAAAATATTTTCAAAAAATGCAGTAAAGTAAAAATCCCACACGATGTTTTAATTATATGGCCACTTCAAAGTCGATGTATTTTCAAAAAAACCGTTATATATGGAAAAATTGCATGCAATAATTTTCTATTTTCACATTAAATCTCTTAAGTGCAGTATATTGAAGTGTTCTGAATTAAAAAAAAATTCAAAAATACTTCAAACTAATCGAGGTCTGATCAAAAAATGTTTACCACAGTAAATGTTTTAATTCTGTGACCACCACTGTACGTCTTTTTCCCTCCTTCTAATGGAAAGATTATACGTTTAATGCAAATATTGCCTTAAGCAGCATTTATTACCGCCTAAAAGTATGCTTTAATTAATAACAATCATCAAATGCCACAATACAGTGTTATCAATCTACTTTGGATGACAACTAACCCCCATTGAAGACATTCTCGTTGATAACAGCACTCGCACTCACAATTGCGGCCTTTTGGCGCTCTCTCTCTTTTCCACTGGGAGCTTATTTCAACAGTTTACAACAACAACACATACACTTGTCATTCAAATTAACGGCAGCAGCAATGCAATCTGCCTCCCATTTCCTTTTTGCTGCTTTCTTTATCACTAGAGACAAAAGTCGATCTAATCATCCCTACCCCATTACCCCTTATAAAAGCCAAACAGCTGTCAGTGTGCGGGCATTCATAAATTTATTAGCCGGTTAAACGGGAAAAGAAGAAAGCAGAAAGTTCGCAAATAATTTATTAAGAAAACTATTAAAAAAAGTGAAAAATATCAATATGGTGAATGTACCAAATGTTGTGTTAAACAGTGGCCATAATATGCCCATATTGGGCCTTGGAACATGGGGTGTAAGTATAGAAAAAACAAATAGCAATATATTATTAATTTGGCACAATTAATCAAGCCCTTTGTTTTTTTTTTTGGTCGTTCTATAAAAAGTTTGCAATAAAAAAACTAGAAAAAAATCGCTATACAACTCACACAATCACACACATGGCATGCTAAAAAATATATATAGAAGGAAATAGAATGTGATATGGAACTATTTTTTATAATTATTGTTATTGACATGAAGATCGATTTTTGCGGCCCCCACTAGAAAAAAAAAGCTTATCATTAATTATTGAGTTCAGTTCGCATTTCACAAGTACTTGGTGGGAATCGGCCATTTGGTTATTGCACAATACAACTACAAATGTATGGCCGAACCTTTTATTACATTTACAACAATTTACAACAAAAACACAAGTAATACATTTTTTTGTATTTGATTAGATATTCTAAACAGTTGCATTATTTTACACAAAAAAAAAGCATCCAATCGCAACTGCATTGCCTCAAGGTCATCATTTATTAGAAACAGGGTGAACTGAAATTAAAGGTAGTAGATAAAAAAATCTAATTTTAAATGTTTAAAAAATTTTAATTGCTATGTTGATATGTCTACTAGGTCGGGAATGTTCGTTTGTAGTTGTGGCCATATGTCGACAGACCACTCAAATCTTATCTAGCGCCACATCCATATCAGTACAAAACAAATCTTATCCAGCAACTAGTTATTTATTGCAAAGTACTTGTAAAATTGCACACCTTATCAGTAAATAACCTGAAGCCGAGGAGTCGCACTTAAACAATACAAATCGATTGTAGAAACAGGAAAAAACGACATTTTGGAGACATTTGGTGACTACCCTAATAAGTGCAGCGATATTGATAATTTTTGGTGGAAAGATTTGTTACCCTATGAGAATTCAAAATACCAAATTGCAGACAATTCCGTTGAAGAAAGTGCGACAATACCCTAAAAAGTTGAGCAATATTGACAATTTTTGGTGTGGGGATAATGAAGTCAATGAGGATCCGAAATACCAAATTACGGCCACTTCGGTTGAAAAACGTGTTAAAAATCCCAAAATATCGAAATTTGTGAGGTTATGTTATATGGGATCCACTATAAAAAGTTAAGCAATATTCATAATTTTTGGTATGGAGATTAAGTACCCAGTGGGGATCCAAAATACTAAATTGCAGCCAATTGGGTTGAAAAACGTGCCCAAACTACCCAAAATTCCGTCATTTGAGTGGCACCGTTACAAGGGAGCTACCTTGATAAGTTTTGGTAGGACGATTTGCTATCCAATGGTAATCCAAAATATCAAATTCCAGACAATTCGGTTGAAAAATGTGACCAAACTCCCTTAAGAACGGAAATTTAGATGGAGATGTTATATGGAGTCCCCACACAAATGTGGAGCAACATCGATATTCTTTCGTAGAAAGATTTTTTATCCAATGAGAATCCAACATACCAAATTACAGCAAATTCGGTTGAAAAACGCGCCTAAAGTCCGTAAAATACGGAAATTTTTGAGGTTATGTTATATGGGAGCTACCCAAAGAAGTGGACCAATATTAATAATTCTTTGTAGGAAGATTTGCTAGCCAATGAGAACCTAAAATACCAAATTACAACCGCTTACGTTAAAAAAACTGCCCTGATTCCTCAGAATATCGAAATTTGGGAGGTGCCGTTATGTGGGAGCTACCCACAAATGTCGAGCAATATTGATCATTTTTGGTATAGACATTTAGTACCTACAGAGGATCCAAGATACCAAGTTACAGCTATTTTGGTTCAAAAAAGTGCACAAATTTCCCATAATTCGGAAATTAAGGGGAGGTATCCTTATATGGGAACTACCCTAAAATTTGGAGCAATATTGATGATTTTTGGTATGAAGATTGCCTACCCTATGAGAAACCAATATACCAAATTACAGCTTATTTGGTCGCAAAAAGTGCACTAATTCCGCAAAATTCGTAAATTTAACATATATCCTTATATGGGAGCTACCCTTAAATGTGGAGCAATATTGATAATTTTTGGTATGGTGATTTGCTACCCAATGAGAATCCATTATACCAAATTACAGCTACTTTGATTGAGAAAAGTGTAAAAATTCCTCAAAATTCGGAAATTTGGAGGGTATCCTTATATGGAGGCTACCCTATAAAGTAGAAAAATATTTATGATTTTTGGTATGAAGATTGTCAACTCTATGAGAATCCAATATATCAAATTACAGCCGATTTGGTAAAAAAGTGCCCAAAAATTCCTAATAACCGAAAAATAGGGTGTAGCGTCATATGGGGTCTAAACTAAATAGTGGACCATCACATTTCATTTTCAATACCAAACATCCTAGGACTAGTAGCAATGTATGTGTAGAGCTATATATTAAATATTGCAAGCTCTATCGTTGTTTTAACAGGTAAGACAAAAGGTCTCCATTATATAGAAAACCCATAGAAGGTCTTCTGTAGCAAAAGGACCTAAAGAATATTTTCTATTACTAGAACAGATGTAGAAGGTCTTCTATAGAAGATGATAAGGGTCCTCTAGGTATATAACACTCAAAGAAGTTCTCCTACAGATAGAAGACCCATAAGAAGCTTTTCTACCGATAGTAGATCTATAGAAGCTCTCCTATATGTAATTTCATAATATGCCTATAACATTGTTGTTATTGTTGTTCGTTTTTTATAGAAAATATTCCATATTGTCGTCACAAAGCCCGGAACGACGACGTCGTTTCCCCTTTTTTGTTTCTGATAAGAAATCAACATCGTAGATTAAATTAATTTATTTTGAAAATAATCGACTACATGCCTAAATATGTCATATCTTCCGACAATTTATGGGCCTATTAAACAAATTGTTATTATACCAAAAAAATCAAAAATGTAATTGCTATGTGGATTTTTGACCTCCACTCCAGGAGGTGGTCATCAACATAATTTATGTTCCAAATACTTGTCAAATTTGATTTTCAAGTTTATATTCAACTTGATATCAGTCGGTACGCGCCACACACTTGAAATTTGGTGATAAGACGACGGACCTAGTCAATAATTAAATTTTATGATTATTTAATGAAGAGTTTATGCTTTTTTTTTGTTATTGATATGAAGCAAAATCAAACATGCCATTAGAACATGAACATGCCGTGCATGATTGCGGAATTTTGGTCATAGGGAAATTGTTGATACTTTTTTTTCAAGTGGATGTAGTCTGACATTTTGGGTTATCGTTGGGTAGCAAATCTGTCTACCAAAAATTATGAATATGGGTCCACTTTTAGGGGTAGCACCCACATAAGGGTTTCATCGAAATGTCGATACTTTGGGATTTTGGACACATTTTTCAATCAAATTGGCTGTAATTTGATATTTTGGATTCTCATTGGGTAGAAAATCTATCTACCAGAAATAATCCATATTGGTTCAAGTTTCAGGGTAGCCTCCATATAACGGAAATCCCATTATTGACTATTTTGGATACATTTTTCAATCGAATTGGCTGTAATTTAGTATTTTGGATTCTCATTGGGTAGCGAACCTCCCTAACAAAGATTATTAATATCGGTCCACGATTTGTTCTAGCGCCCATATGAATGTATCTGCAATTTTCGATGATTCGGAGGATTTCGGCCAAGTTTTTTCAACCGAATTGGCTGTAATTTGGTATTTTGGATTCTCATAGGAAAGCAAATGTTCGTACCAAAAATAATTAAAATTGATCCACTTTTGAGTGTAGCTCCCATTCAATATAACCTCCACAATTTACGTTTTTGTGGATTTTGGCCACGTTTTTAAACCGAATTGGCTGTAATTTGGTAATTTGGGTTCTCATAGGATAGCCAATCTTCCTACCGAATATTATAAAAATTGGTCCACTTTTGAGGATGGCCCCCATACAACATAACCTCAAAAAATTACGTTTTTTGGGGATTTTGGGCACATCTTTTCAACTGGATTCGGTGTAATTTGTTATTTTGGATTCTCGTAGGATAGCAAATCTTCCTACCGAAAATTGTCAATATTGGTAGACTTTTTAGGGTAGCTCCCATACAACATAACCTCAAAAATTTACGTATTTGGGGATTTTGGCCACGTTTTCCAACCAAATTGGGTGTAATTTGGTAATTTGGGTTCTCATAGGGTAGCAAATCTTCCTACCGAAAATTATCAAACTTGGTCCACTTTTGAGGATGGCCCCCATATAACATTACCTCTAAAATTTCTGTTTTTGGGAATTTTGGGCACATTTTTTCAGCCGAATTGTCTGTATTTTGTTACTTTGGATTCTCATAGGATAGCAAAACTTCCTACCGAAAATGATCAAAATTGGTCCTTTTTTGAGGATGGCCACCATACAACATAACCTCAAAAATCTACGTTTTTGGGGGTTTTGGCCACGTTTTCCAACCGAATTGGGTGTGATTTGGTAGTTTGAGTTCTCATGGGGTAGTAAACCTTCCTACCAAAAATTATCAATATTGCTCCACATTGAAGGGTAGCCCCCATTTAACATAACCTCCAAAATTTCGATTTTCGAGGAGTTTGAGCAAGTTTTTCAACCGAATGGGCTCTAATTTGGTATTTTGGATTCTCAAGGGGTAGTAAACCTTAAATTATCAATATCGGCCCAAGTTTGGGTATTGAACCCATATAATGGTATTCCCGAAATTCGAAATATTGCGATTTTTTATTTTTTTTTAAAGGTCACCATAGCCAATTTGCGATTATGTTATTCTCCACAATTTTAAAATTATCACCTTATTGCCTGCCGCCGCAATAAAAAAGTCACAAATTTTAGACTTGTTAAAATTAGCAATAAGTTTTGAAAATTCTTTACAAGACACTAATTAACAATATCGTTTTTTCTTCTTCTTCTTTTTTCTTTATTCCATCCATTCCTCCTCTCAACATTGTAGAGTCCCAAGGGTGAAGTTGCCCAAGCCGTTAAAGATGCCATTGATATTGGCTATCGTCACATTGATTGTGCCCATGTCTATCAAAATGAACACGAAGTCGGTGAGGGTATTGAGGCTAAGATCAATGAAGGTGTTGTCAAGCGGTGAGTAGAAAAAATTACATTTTAAATAATAAAAAAAAATAATGTTTGCAATTGTATTTTTTTCCAGTGAGGACTTATTCATTACCAGCAAATTATGGAACACCTTCCATCGTCCCGATTTGGTGCGTGGCGCCTGTGAGACTACCTTGAAAAACTTGAAATTATCTTACATTGATATGTATTTGATCCACTGGCCCATGGGCTATAAGGAAGGTGATGAGCTCTTCCCAGTTGATGCTGAGGGTAAGACTGCCTTCTCCGATGCTGACTACGTTGATACCTGGAAAGAAATGGAAAAATTGGTACAAGATGGTTTGGTTAAGTCCATTGGTGTTTCCAATTTCAATAAAAACCAAATTGAACGTATTTTGGCTGTGGCCACCATTCCTCCGGCCACCAATCAGGTCGAGTGTCATCCCTATTTGACCCAAAAGAAATTGATGGAATATTGCAAATCGAAAAATATTGCCATTACCGCCTACAGTCCATTGGGTTCACCCAATCGTCCATGGGCCAAGGCCGGTGATCCTGTGTTGATGGAGGATCCTAAGGTAAGGAAGAAATGATTTTTTGTTTTAGAAATTAAATTAACTTGATTATCTTTTTTGTGTTTCAAGATCGTCGCCATTGCTGAAAAATATTCCAAAACCCCTGCACAAATTTTGATCCGCTATCAAATTCAACGTGGCAACATTGTCATTCCCAAATCGGTTACCAAGAGCCGTATTGCCTCCAACTTTGATGTCTTTGGTTTTGAATTGAGTGCCGAGGATATGGCCAACATTGATAGCTTCGATTGCAATGGCCGTTTGGTGCCCTTGTTGAAGTGAGTATTGAATTTAAAACCGATTTTTATAAAAATTATACAAATTTATTTAAATTATAATAATTTATTTAAATTTCATTTTTAATTATTTATTTATTTTCTTTAATATAAACAGCGATGCTGGCACGCATCCTCATTATCCTTTCCACGATGAATTTTAAATCAAATTTCAAATTTAAATTTCAACTAGGGGTAAAATATGAAATGATTTATTTTATGATTTGTTGTTGTGTTGCTAGTTTGCTTTTGATTTTATTTTTATCTTTTTTGTAATTCTATAATTAATAATTTCTATATTTTTTTTAATTCTATAAGTAATTCGAATTACAATTTGAAAAAGTATTTTTTTTTGTTTTTAATAATTTATTTACTTAATAACTAAGTAATTTACACTAACTTGATTGCTTGTTTTCCGCTTAGAATAGTTAATTTACCTCTCAAACAACCCATTATATCCTTATCCCCGTATTTCATAGAGGTCTATGGCGATTTAGTCATGTCTGTCAGTCTTTTGAAATCATGATAGAGCTGGCAATATTTCAGATAGAGCTTTACAAATTTGTACAAACATTGTTACAACTCCTTGGATGTTTGATATTAAACCTGAGATACATTGGTCCATGTTTTGGCATAGTTCCCATATAAGAGTACCTCCTAAATTTCGATATTTTGGTTTTTTGGGTAAATTTTTCAACCGAATTAGCTGCAATTTAGTATTTTGGATTCTCCTTAGGTAGAAAATCCTTCTACCAAAAATGATTGAAATTGGTTCATGTTTCAGGGTAAAGATACCATCAAAATTTCCCTTTTTGGGGATTTTCGGAACATTTTTCAACCAAATTAGCTGTAAGTTTGCAATTTGAATACTCATCGGGTAGTAAATATACCTACCAAAAATTATAAAAATTGATCCACTTTTAATGTTAGCTCCCATTGAAAAGAGGCTCTCAAATTTCGATATTTTGGGAATTTGGGTACATTTTCCAATTGAATTGGCTGTAATTTTGTATTTTGGGCTCTCATTGGGTACAACAGCTCCATACCAAAAACTATTGTTTTTGATCCATTTTTTAGGGTAGCTCCCATATAAGGGTACCTCCCCAATTTCCGATTTTGTGGATGTTTGGTCACGTTTTTCCAATGAAATTGGCTATAATTTGGTATTTTGTATTCATATTGGGTACAAAATCTGTCTACCAAAATTTATCATTATTGGTTCACTTTTTAGGGTAGCTCCCATATAAGGGTGCCTCCCAATATTCCGATTTTGCGGGTTTTGGATCACATTTTCAACCGAATTGGCTATAATTTGGTATTTTGTATTCATATTGGGTATAAAATCTTCCTACCAAAAATTATCATTATTGGTTCACTTTTTAGGGTAGCTCCCATATAAGGTTGCCTCCCAATATTCCGATTTTGCCGGTTTTGGGGCACATTTTTCAACCGAATTGGCTGTAATTTGGTATTTTGGAATCTCATCGGATTACAAATCATCCTTCCAAAAATTATCAATATCGGCCCAAGTTTCAGGGTAGCCCCCTTTGTAACGATACCTCTCAAATGTCGATATTGTGGCATTTTGGGTACGTTTTCTTAACCGAATTGGCTGCAATTTGGTATTTTGGATACTCATTGGGTGGAAAATCATCCTACCAAAAATTATGAATATTTGCCCAAGTTTCAGGTTAGCCCCCTTGGTAACGATACCTCTTAAATTTCGATATTGCGGAATTTTGTCCACGTTTTTCCAACCGAATTGGCTGTAATTTCATATTTTGGATTCTCATATGATAGAAATTCGTCTATCCAAATATTGTCAATATCGATCCATTTTTTAGGGTAGCCCCCATTCAAATAACCTCCCAAACATAGGTTTTAGGTGAGTTTGGGCACGTTTTTCCAACCAAATTGGCTATAATTTCATATTTTGCTTTCTTGTTGGGTAATAAATCTTCCCAACAAAAATTATCAATATTGGTCAACTTTTGAGGGTAGACCCCATTCAATATAACCTCAAAAATTTCAATTTTTTGAGAGTTTGACCACATTTTTCAACCGAATTGTCTGAAATTTGATATTTTGTGTTCTGATTGGGCAGCAAATGTTCATATGAAAAACGATTGGAATTGGTCCACGTTTGAGGGTAGCCACCATATAACATAACCTCTAAAATTTCAGTTTTTGGGCATTTTGGGCACATTTTTCCAACCAATTGGGCTGTAATTTGGTATTTTGGAGTCAAATAGCCTACAAAATCGTTCTACCAAATATTATCAATATTGCTCCATTTTTAAAGGGTAGCCCCCATATAAGGATGCCTCAAAAATTTCTGATTTTGGGGAGTTTGGGCTTGCTTTTCAACCGAATTCGATGCAATTTGGTTTGAGGGTAGCCACCATATAACATAACCTCTAAAATTTAAGTTTTTGGGGATTTGGCGCACATTTTTCCAACCAATTGGGCTGTAATTTGGTATTTTGAAGTCAAATAGCCTACAAAATCGTTCTACCAAATATTATCAATATTGCTCCATTTTTAAGGGTAGCCTCCATATAAGGATGCCTCAAAAATTTCCGATTTTGGGGAGTTTGGGCTTGCTTTTCAACCGAATTCGATGCAATTTGGTTTGAGGGTAGCCACCATATAACATAACCTCTAAAATTTAAGTTTTTGGGGATTTGGCGCACATTTTTCCAACCAATTGGGCTGTAATTTGGTATTTTGGAGTCAAATAGCCTACAAAATCGTTCTACCAAATATTATCAATATTGCTCCATTTTTAAGGGTAGCCTCCATATAAGGATGCCTCAAAAATTTCCGATTTTGGGGAGTTTGGGCTTGCTTTTCAACCCAATTCGCTGCAATTTGGTATAATTATAATTATTGGTCCACTTGTTTGGCCTAGCTACCATATAAAGATGACTCAAAAATTTCCGATTTTGGGGAGTTTGGGTTTGCTTTTCAACCGAATCGGCTGTAATTTCGTACTTTGGAATCTAATAGGGTACAAAATCTGTATACCAAAAATTATCAATATTGGTCCACTTTTTGGGGTAGCTCCCATATAAGGGTGCCTCTCAAATTTCCGATTTAGTGGATTTTGGACATATTTTTAATTTTATTTTCAATGAAAATAATTTCTAATTTGTAGTTCTCACCCTTGTCATAACTATTAACCCCTTTAATAATAATTTTTAAATTTTTTGTTACGATTTAAATTTAGTTGTTTCTTGTTTCCTTAGTTGTATCCCTCTTTATTTCAGCCTAGCAGAAACTTTTTAAATATTATTTTTGATTCTTTGTTTTTATTTTATTATTTGCCTGGTTTGGTTAATGTTTTAGTTTCTGTAATAATTATGAATTATTAAATATTCTAATTAATATTTTTTTTTCTTTTCTCTCTGTCTTCCCCCCACAGTGTCTATGGCCATCCCCATCATCCATTTGAAAAGGATGAATTCTAAAAAAATAATGGAACCCTACCAACCAACCAACACCACTATTAACAATCTAATTGTTTTGCTGGCAAAGCCTTTGAAATTTACATTTTTATAGATATACATATATACAAACACACACATATATATTAATAACTACGTAGAACTATTACAAGAACATTGTGACCAGCTTATAGACTATAGAATTGGAAAAATGAATGAAATGCTTGAATAAAAACGGAAAATTTACAAAACAAGAAAGAATCGATTTGCAAAAAACAAAATTTTGATTGAAACAATAAGGTAAGACATTTTTAAAAAAATGATTTTTGAACAAAAAATAACGAGTGGATTTAAGAAAAATATTTTTAGGGAATCAACACAAGGCGTGGATTTTTTAAAAAATATTTTTAAAGGATCCACACAAGGATGGGATTCTCATTGGGTATAGCAAATCTCTAAACCAAAAATTATCTATTTTTGAAAATTTTGGGCACGTTTTTCAACCGAATTGTCTCCAATTTTATTTTATGGTTCCTCATTAGGTGTCAAACCTCCACACCAAAAATGATCAATATTGGTATACTTTTTAGGGTACCTCCCATATAAGGCTACCATCCGAAGTTTTTTATCGAATTGCCTGTAATTTGGTATTTTTGGTTCTCATTGGGTAGCAAATCTTTCTACCAAAAATTATAAATATTGGTCCACTTTTGAGGATAGTCCCCATATAAGGGTACCAAAAATAATTCGCCTTTTGAAGATTTTGGGCACGTTTTTCAACCGAATTGTCTCCAATTTTATATTATGGTTCCTCATTAGGTGTCAAACCGCCACACCAAAAATGATCAATATTGGTATACTTTTTAGGGTAGTTCCCATATAAGGCTACCATCCGAATTTCGATATTTTGGCGATTTTTGGCAAGTTTTTAATCGAATTGCCTGTAATTTGGTATTTTTGGTTCTTATTGGGTTTTCCATCATCCTACTATAAATGATCAATATTGGTGGAGTTTTTAGTGTAGTCTCCCTTTAGGGGACCTTTGGAATTTCGATAATTTAGGGGATTTAGGTCATGTTTTTCGTTCAAATTGGCTGTAATTTGGCATGTTGGGTTCTCATTGGGTAGCAAACCTTCCTACAAAAAATTATCAACAATGGTATACTTTGTACGTTAGCTCCCATATAAGGGTAGCTTCCGAATTTCGTTATTTTGGGATTTTTGGCAAATTTTTCAATCGAATTGGCTGTAAATTGTTATTTTGGGTTTTCATTGGGTTGTATATCCACCTACCAAATATGATCAATATTGGTGAAATTTTTTTGGGTAGTCCCCCTTTAAGGGTACCTTCGGAATTTCGAATTTAGTGGATTTGGTAATGTTTCTTCATTCAAATTGGTTGTAATTTGGCATGTTGGGTTCTCATTAGGTAGCTAATTTTTCTATACAAAATATTCAACATTGGTCTACTTTTTAGGATAGCTCCCATATAAGGGTAACCCCAATAAATCACTTTTTGGCGATTTTAGTTACGTTTTTCAACCAAATTGTCTCCAATTTTATATTATGGATCCTCATTAGGTGTCAAACCTACACACCAAAAATTATTAATATTGGTCTACTTTTTAAGGTAGTTCCCACATAAAGGTACCCTCCAATTATTCGAATTTTTGAGATTCTGTGCAGGGTTTTTAACCGAATTGGCTGTAATTTGGTATTTTGGATTCTCATTGGCTAACTAACCTTCATACCAAAAATCATAATTTTTGGTTCACCATTTAGGGTAGCCCCCATATATAAGGGTGCCTCCAATAATTCGCTTTTTGCGGATTTTGGACACGTTTTTAAACTGAATTGTCTATAATTTGATATTTTGGATTGTCGTTAGGTATCAAATCTCCATACAAACAATTATTAATATTTGTCTATTTTTTAAGGTTGCTCCCACATACCGGTACCCTCCAATTATTCGGATTTTTGAGATTCTGGGCAAGTTTTTTAACTGAATTGGCTGTAATTTGGTATTTTGGATTCTCATTAGGTATCAAACCTCCATACCAAAAATTATTAATATTGGTCCTCTTTTCAGGTTAGCTCCCACATAAGGGTACCTTCCGAATTTCGATATTTTCGTGATTTTTACACGTTTTTAAACTGAATTGTCTATAATTTGATATTTTGGATTCTCGTTAGGTATCAAATCTCCATACAAAAAATTATTAATATTTGTCTATTTTTTAAGGTTGCTCCCACATACCGGTACCCTCCAATTATTCGGATTTTTGAGATTTTGGGTAGGCTTTTCAACCGAATTGGCTGTAATTTGGTATTTTGGGCTCTCCTTAGATAGCAAATCTCCCTACCAAAAATTATCAATATTGGTTCATTTTTCGGGGTAGCCCCCATATAAGGGTACCTTCCAAATTTCGATATTTTCGTGATTTTTACACGTTTTTCAACCGAATTGACTGTAATTTAATATTTTGGTTTCTCATTAGGTGTCAAACCTCTACACCAAAAATTGTCAATATTGATCTACTTTTTAAGGTAGCTCCCACATACCGCTACCCTCCAATTATTCGGATTTTTGAGATTTTGGGTAGGCTTCTCAACCGAATTGGCTGTATTTTGGTATTTTGGGCTCTCCTTAGATAGCAAATCTCCCTACCAAAAATTATCAATATTGGTGCATTTTTCAGGGTAGCCCCCATATAAGGGTACCTTCCAAATTTCGATATTTTCGTGATTTCTTCACGTTTTTTCAACCGAATTGCCTGTAATTTAATATTTTGGTTTCTCATTAGGTAACTAATTTCTCTACTAAAAATTATAAGTATTGGTCCACTTTTATGGGTAGGCCCCATATGAGGATATTTCCCAAATTTCGATATTTTGAATAGTTTGGGCTCATTTTACAATCGAATTGCGTGTAATTTGATGTTTTGATTATTTTTATTAATTTGTTTATACATTTTATTGTTGTTATTGTTGCTTTTTTGTAACGATCCATGTGATTGATCTGCAGCAGCATTCTGCTTCGTCATGATATCGAATTGTTTTTGTGATCACTTTTAGGGTTTCACTGCACTGCTGCAGATTGAACTTAAATGTTAATGACATTCACACAAGAGATTTGAAACACTTTTGTTGTTGTTGTTGTTGTCGGGAAGCCATTCAAAAACCAATTTCTTTTTTTAAACACACATTTTTTTAAATTTTTTTTTGTTGAATTTATTTTTTTATTAATTTTTTCAATTTTTTATTTATTTCCAGCTGATGATTTCTTTCAATTAAAAGCACTGATTTCGAATGGTGCTAGAATTTCGTTTTGTGTTATGAGAATTTTCAAAAAATAAAAATTGATTTCAATTCCACATAGTTTAGAGGAAAACGTTTTAACCCATCTATGCACCAACCGATCTCAGTTCTTTAAAATTGAATTTAAGAAGAATGGGTGGGCGAGGCACTACTTTTTTGAGACACTATTTTAAGGGTTATCCTTCTTTTTGAATACTCCACTTATCATTTTTTTCGGGTACATAGGATTGCCACCTTTTTTCACTAGGATTTGAAACGCGATCAGTTTTGCGAGGCACTCGATTATCCTTTTTTTCTGAATACTCCGCACTTTTTGGAAGGATTTTGAAACCGTTCGAATTTATTCCTGTTGACTGTGATTCCATTACTTTGATAGATGGTATCTGATGTCTAGAGTCGAGTCGAGTCGCATCGTATCGTGGTGTACTGTTCGAAGCTCTTACATCGTCTGACATCAACTGTTTGTTGTAAATTTAAAACCTCAGCTTAAATGTTGAAAACCTGTTACAGCTGAGAAAACTTTTACAAAAGAGTTGACAATTTTTTTTGGTTTGCTGTTGTTGTTCGGTTCGGTTGTTCGGCAATTGTTGTTGGCATCGTCTTGATGTGTACTACTGCTGCTGCTTCTTCTTCTTTTCATATATAGACTTTTATAGTTTCCTTATACCTTTACTTTTAGAAAACAGACACACACACACAAGCACACACCAAGCTACACACTCTCAGTGCTCCATAGCGAGCTGTAGCTGTGTCGGGATGATAACTGAGCCGGGGCCAAATATGAATACCTTGAAGGTAATGTTACATGGATGGCATCCCACCAAAGCGTTGAAAGCTAAAAAACAGAAGGTTTTTATTTGTTTTGTATTGTTTTCTGCTGCTGCTTCTTCTTCTTCTTTTTACCAACACAAAAATTAGCGTCATTTCATTGCGTCTTAGATCAAATTTCGGATTCAGATTCAGTATTCGAAAACAAAATATATTGTGTCTGTTTTTGTTTTTGTATCCTTTTCAAATATGACAAAAAAATAACATAAATGTAATGGCAGAAGACCGTTAAATATTGTAACGGTTTCATTTTTTTTTCTGGGTGGACAGGGTTGCCATATTGACTAAACAAAAAATATTGGGATTTTTTATAGACCTGAAAATAAATTTATTTCAATATTGAAGATAGAGTTTTGAAATTTGGAACAGACATTGCTAACACCCCTGGAATGTTTGTTATTGAAAATGGGAAAAATCGGTCCACTTTTTAATAGAGGCCCCGATAATGGTTTTATTTTTGGGGGGTTTCGGACACATTTTTCAATGGAATTGGCTGTAATTTGGTATTTTAGGTTCTCATTGGGTAGAAAATCTCTCTACCAATTTTTTTTAATATTGGTCTACTTTTTGGTGGAGCCCCCTTGTAAGGGTACCCTCCGGATTTCAGTATTTTCGGCGATCTCTTTAACCAAATTGGCTGTAATTCGGTATTTTGGGTTCTCATTTGATAGAAAATCTTCGTACAAAAAATTATGAATATTGGTCCATTTTTTACGGTAGCTCCCATATAAGGGTACCTTCCGAATTTTGGTATTTTAGGGATTTTTGTCAACTTTTAGAATCGAATTGGCTGTAATTTGGTGTTTTAGGTTCTCATTTGGTGAAAAATCTATCTACCAAAAATTATCGATAGTGGTCAATTTTTTACGGTAGCTCCCAAATAAGG